GAAGAATATGGGCCTTTTTCAAAAACCTCATAAAAGCTGTGTGCAGTGGCACATGCCTGTAACCCCAGGAACTCGGGAAGCTGAGGCAAGAGGATAGAGTTCAACGCCAGCCTCAGGAGATTAGCAAGGCACTTAGCAACTCAGTGAGAACTTGTCTCTAAATAAAATATTTTAAAAAGGGCTGGGGATGTGGCTCAGTGGCTAAGCACCCCTGGGTTCAAACCCCAGTATAAAAATTGTTCAACTCATAAAACTCATAAAAATTGTTCAACTTGGCTAGGCATCCTGGTGCACGCCTGTAATCCCAGCAACTCAGGAGGCTGAGGCAGGAGGATCTCAAGTTCAAAGCCAATCTCAGCAACTTAGTGAGGCCCTGACTTGAAATACAAAATCAAAAGGACTAGGGATCTGGCTCAGTGATTAAAAAAAAAACAACTGTTCGACATTCTTATTGTGTTCACATGCACTAGCTCAGCTGCAATAATGGCTTCTTAATTGACCAGTCATTTTCTCTTTCCATGTCCCTAATCTCATACTACCTATAGGCTGAAACTGAAGAGCATTACAGCAGATAGGTTCAGGCAACAAGTCGTCCTGGCATGGAGTTTAAGCTCAGAGGGATTCTTCACCAAAGGAAGCATTAAGCCCCTGAATGTGATCAATCCTTTGTACACACCCCACTTCAGTGAGGAGCCAGGTACTTCCAGAAGCCCTGGGGTGCTCTTGTGACGACTTCACCACACTGCAGAGGAAACACAAGGTAGTCTTCTAGAAGACATTGCCAAAGGGTCTTAGAAACCAGAAAATCTGCCCTACCTATCTTATAAGTAGCTTAGCAAAGCCACCGTTGTAATGTGACTGACTCCTCATTATTTCAGGACACTTGCAACACTCCTGTCTCTAAAATATGTCCCTAACTTAGGTATTAGTGCTAAAATTCTCCATCTAAAAACCCATCAGTTATTTTACATTAGTGTTTATTTTTATTTTTTTAAATACGTATGGTTCTAAAATCAAAATCTAAAATATCACAGCAAATATTTGACTTCACCCTTTAACGCCCCCGTCTCATTCCCCAACCACTTTCTACTCTTTTGCCCTTGCTTCTCTTCCCTACATACTTCTAGATGGCACAGGTACGCTACAGTTTTATGTGTGCTTGTAGATGTGCACATCTTGTTTTGGAGGTGACAGCTGGCTCTCTCACGTCCTCTGACACTTTCCCTGACCCAGTGGGACCATAGATCTATCCCACTTGGGTTGACTGTGTGAATGTTGTTCATGCCATCACCTGTGTCCTTCTTATCAACGAAGACAATCCTTTGGAGGGAAATAGCACTTTCACCTGTGAATCAGCTGGGGTGTGAATCAAGAGTACTACCAGGGGTGGTATGGCAGGTGCTAGCTGGCATGAGGCTAGGGGCATGGACACTCTCCTGTCTGGGCCATCTGGGACTGGGCAGACCTGCTTCTCCATACCCAGTCATGTTGCTGGATTGGGAGATAGCTCCTCTGCATATAGCCTCTTGCCAGCTCTGTACCCATGGCCTAGTATGACGCCTGCAATATAGAGCATGCTTAATCACGGGAGGCCTTTCATTCTGTTCATTACCACTAACATCAGTGACTGAATGTGCATCATCTTTATTCAACAATTAGTGCACCACACTGCTAGAACTCTTGCTTCTTGATCTGGGAAAATAAAATGGGTCCCTCTTCTGCACATTAAGTAATCAGGTTCTGATTTTCCTTTCCTTCTCTCCCTAATGGTCTTTAATGCTTCAGTGCTCTCTTAGCACAAGGCATTTTCTCAAGTTCTAAAGCCCAGTGTTCTCGGGCTGCCTGCAGGGCAGCTGCTGTTCCCCGTCAGACCCGGCTTGCCTTTGGCCTTGTCTTGGCCCTTCTGAGGAGTGGGCTCCTCACCTGCATGGCATGCTCACCATGTTTGGGGGTTAAAATACTGAAGAAAAATCATGGGACTGAAGTCATTATCAAGCAAACCAAGATAGGTGTGATGTGACCCCCAGGAAGAACAGAGATAGATAAGGGGCATAGCGCTTATTTAAGAATATTATGACAGAAAACTAACAAAATCTAGAGATGGAAATGTACATTCAGATCCATAAGTACTATAGAACCCCAAATAGACAAAATATCAAGTAACTTCCACCAAGACACATAATCAAATTCTTGAAAGTCAGAGGCAGAGACATTTTTGAAAGCAGCAAAAGAAAAGCAATTTGTTACACACAGGAAAGATTACATACATAAGATTATCAACATATTTCCTAGAAAAAAACCTTACAGGCCAGGCAGGGGTAGGACGATATATAATTAAAATTCTGAAGGAGAACGATCCTGCTGGTCAAGACCATTATCCTCAGCAAGAATGTTCTAGAGAAATGAAGATTTTCCCAAGACAAAAGCTGTGGCAGTTTATCACCATGGGACCTATATTTTATCTCTTTTTTTGTTGTTGTTTGTTCTTCAATATAAAACATTTAATGTTTAAAAAAAAAAATACTGTCAGGGCTGAGGTTGTAGCTCAGTGGTAGAGCACTCACCCAGCACAGATGAGGCCCTGGGTTTGGTCTCAGTACCACATAAAAACAAGTGAGTAAAAATAAAAGTTGGGGCCTGGGTATCTAAGCTCAGTTGGTAGAGTGTTTGCCTAGCATGCACAAGGCCCTGCGTTCTTAGTTTATGGTGATTGTTTCTTAACGGCAACCTCATGTACACCGTAAATGTATACAATTTTTATATGTTAGTTTTACCTCGGAAAAACTTTTAAAAAGCAAAAACTGACTCAATGATGAGGACCTCCCAGTGGTCTTGAGCTTGTATATACCTTTCAAGCATAAAACCTGACATGGTCATGGGGACACTCGCACGTTTTCATTACCAAATATAAAATGTGTTATTTGGAAGTTTTGCACACGCCATCTCCTTTAAATATATTTTATATGCTGCTTACAATCACATAAAAGATTAATATAAAATTTGATGTTTATTAACATTTAATCTTTATTGGATCATAAGGTTAATATTTTCAGCCAATATTCTGCATGGGCCTTCAGTTCCCCTCTGGTTCCAGTGTGCCATGCAACTAGGGTCATTTTTTTTTCTGAAGGAAGATGTGACAACCTCAGGACAACCTGTCCTGTGTCACATTGCATTCATGTGGTTAGCGAACATGGATGAGTGCCTTCTGACACAGGAGGGGACGCCAGGCATCTCCCCAGGCCCTTCTAGGGGCAGGAGAAAGGTTTATGAGAAACTAATACCAATCCATGAGGTTTGCTCAGTGCTTCGACTGGGTGGAGGAGAAGCTGGCATCAGGAGGGCCAGGGCAGAAACATGAGAGTGTGAAAAGCCCATGCTTTGGGGTCTGAAGAGCTGTCCTAGGGCTTTGAGCAAGACAAGAGTCAGCTGCAGAAGTGGTTTCAGGCCGTCCTGGGTGTGGAATAGCTGGAGGGTTGTTAATTAGGTAGACAAGATCACATTTGGCTTTCAGGGGTCTTGCTTTTCGGTGCCTCCCAGTCCTGTGGCCAGCCTCATGTGACAGAGAAGCCCTGATCAGAGCCAGTGACCTGTGCCAGGAGTGGGGAGATGACTTGAAAGAGACATGAGAGTCAGGTTGGGCTGGTTTGGTGCCCACTAGGAATGGAGTAAGGAAGGAGAACTGGGAGAGAGAAAGAGACCTAGCCAAAGGGAGAGAGAAAACTGGAGCCCTGGGCTGCCTTCCTTGTGGGATATTGGCCAAGAGGCTCCTGAAGGTGGCTCAAGAGCAGCTATAAGCTGGGCACATTTTCTTCCTGAGTGCAGAAGTCTTCTTAAAAGCCTAAATACGTTACCCAACTCTGCAAACAGCAGGGGATAGCACAGCATTCCTCAAACAGAGCAAGTCCTGAGGGTATACTGTGCAGCCTCCTCCAGACAGGCCTCAGGAGACAGCCTCAGGGTGCCTGGGCAGGGCTTGGTGTGTCTGGATTTTACAGCCAGGCCTGGGATCAGGTGGCCGGCATCTTCCTGGAAAGTTTGCTTCCCGCCCCAGTTTGCTTTCCCAGGGAGGTCTCTGGGCTGGGCTTGGTTGCCATCCGTGTTGTACAGGGTTTCCCTAGGACATAATCAGACCCCCTACTCAGCTGTGCAGGGCCCCCCGTTTTGGCCAGAGGCAGGCGCAGTTTGGAGAACGGTCGTTCCGGGGATGAAATGGAAGCTTCTGCCAGGGCACCCCACCCATTGCTCTGCACGTGGGCTGCAAGTGTCACACTCCCAGGTGTGATCCATGTTAGTTCCACGTAGCCATTTCCGTGTGCCCGCTTTTACTCTGTGGGATGCTAATCTTCATGATCCGATGTGACTTATTGTGTCGCGATAAGACAATAGGAACAAAAGCCAGAAGGCCAAGAAAGACCCTCTTTAGTGCCCGGGCTCTGTGGGAGTCCGGTCCTTCCTCAGGAACTCGTCCCCGCTGTTGCCTAGAAGCCTAAGAGCGGCCCTAAGGACAAAGGGCCGGGGGTGTCGGCGGGGGGTAGCCAACCCGTAAGTGCCGGTGCGCCGGGCGGCCGGGAGGGCGCGCGGCAGGTGTGGGGACGCGGGACCGCCGGGCAGCGCCACTCCGCGCGGGGGCGCCCCCGCCTGCGTCCCCAGGGCGGTCTGGGACCCTGCGCTCGGGGCCGGGGTCCCGGAGGGCGGGAGAGGGAGGAGCCGCGCGAACCCGCCGCGGCCCGGGCCGGCGCCCCGCGGCCGGGAAAGCGAAAGGGCGGCGGGGCCTCTGCGCGCCGCAGGAAGTCGCGAGCAGGAAGCGCCCGCGGCGGGCGGCGGGCGGTGCGGGGCGCGGGCCTCCCCGGAGCAGGTGGGAAGCGGCCGCGCGGGAGGCGCTGCGGCCCGACCCTCCCCGGCCGCACCTGCCGGCCGCCGCGCACCTGCGCCCGGGGCCGCGCTTCCGGCCGCGCGCTGCGGGCTCGGCTCTCGGCGCCTTCTTCCTAGAGGTTTGCTTTATTTGGAGGGCGGGGGGCGATCTCAAGCTCTTTTCGTTGCGGAAAGTCTTTGAAGTAAGGGATCTAGAAGAGTGTCCCTGGGCGACCATGCCAGGCGCCTGGTGCTTGGTGACGCTGCTATTCCGGGAAAGTGGAGGCAGAGGGCGCGGTCTTGGCCCGGCAGCCACTCGCTGAAGCCCCTGGCAGGGGTTCGCCAAGCTGTCCTGCCGGGTCCCTTGCCCATCCCCGCCGCCGCCGTGACAGTTGGGGGTCTAGGGAGCCGACTGGAGGAGACCCGCGCATTGTCTGCCGCGCGATGGGGACGTGGGCGTGCCGGCTGCCTTCACCTCCTCCAGGACCCGGCGATTGTATTGTGTGGGGAGGAGCCGGCCGAAAAGCCCTCGGGTAAGCTCGGAACCAGCACCTGGGCCTTCGGCTTGCCGGTCTGCTGAGCAGCTGGTTCCCGGAGCCCTGGAGCCTCCTGGCCAACCCGAGTGACAGCGACCTTCTGCTTATTATACAGGGCTTAAAACGCCAGAAAGTTCGCGGGCCGCTGGCCACCAACCTTCAGCCCTGGCGGCCCACGCCCTGAGCCCAGTTCGGGAAGAGGCGCTGTCTACGGATTTGCATTAGAATTTAGGATCCTGGAAGCCCCTTCCCCCACGCCCCAGGTTTGAATTGCTAGAGGAGGAATTCCGAAGCCTGCCTTTCCCTGTCTCCTGAGCTCACTGCCGGGAAGCTGCTGCCTGCGTGTCCTGGAACTTAAATTGTGTGAAGTTGTGAGTTGGTAAATATATTCGATTTCCCCCACTCTTTATTTATTCATCGCCTGGTATTCTCTATGCTAGAAAACCTAGGCTCTAAATGTCCTGTCCCAGCACCTGGTCTTGGGGCTGCACTTACAGCCCAAGTGAGGGATGCTGTCTGTATGCTGCCATTGGAGTAGAGGCGTCTCGTGGACAGAATTCAAATTCCTAGTTGTACTGGAGCCCAGGAAGAGTGATGGTGATCATTTCTTTAATGTTGACTAGACCCTTAAAGCTTGGAGAGTGCTTGCCCTGGAGAGGGAGTTTTGTATTCTATCTCTTGATTTTTTAAAAAAGAAAAATGCATTGAACTTTTTTGGGGGGATGCCTTGTTCCCCATTCATGTTTGCTCTTGCAATGAGACCCAATCTTAAAATTTTTTCAACTACGTAAATGATTTGAAATATCTGAGACTGTGGAGACTAAGTGTGACCATGTGACCGTGCCCTGGAAAGACCCTTTCAACATTATTCTTGCTATTACTCACTTTCAGCCTCCTCATCTGTCTCAGCAAGAGACCCAGAGGGCAGCCTCTGAGGGGAGGGACTGTGGGGGGCTCTCAGGTGTGTCTTTCCCTCTGCTCATCTATTTTGAGAAGTCTTTGACTAGGCTCTTTTGGAATAAGTCTAAGCCATGCTCCTTCTGGGCTTTAGTGGAAACAGTGTTGGGACGTTTGCTAAGTTGCTGTCTTGGACGGTGCGATGAAACTGCAATCAGATCCTTTTCTGGTAAATTCCAGGAAGAGTGATTTTTTAAAACTTTTGATGTATTTAGGCTGTGTGCCAAGACCAGAGTGCCACTTGCAATGTGCTCCCCTGCAGGGGCCCTCTGTAGGGCATGGGCAGCAGGAAGCACAGTGGAAGGAGGAGGTACCTAAGGCAAACAGGGCGACCTGGAATTTGTCCCACAATATTGAGCCACCGGGGCGTGGTGCCTCCTTTCCTCCTTTTCTCTCCCTGTGAAGTGAATGCCCTGACTCTTCTTCCGGGTGGCCTTGGGCTCTGTGAGGGCATGTCACCTTCATGACCTCCTTGGTCCTGGAGCCACCCATCCGGGAAACTGGGTTTCAGTGGGTGCTGCACAGGCCAGGGCCCTCCAGGTGTCAAATCCCCACTTGTCTACACCTCCAAGTGAGCTCACTGTGAGAATGTGTAGCACCCATCTCACAAGGGGAAGAACTCATAACAAGAAATCAAGGAGCTTCATTTTCCTGCCTATTTTTCAGTGCCTTCTGGTTCTCTGTTGTTAAAGACCCTGCAGGCAGAGTTGAGGTATATTGCTGAGTTGATGCAGTTGACAGTAGCATATTTTCAGATATACATGCACATAGAAGCATTTGGCGGAGGAAGAATTTGACTCTGGCCATCCATTTCCAGGCACTGTACAATTGAAACCAAATCCTTCACTATATAAAGTCATCGTTATAAAATAGTTTCTCCCAGTCTCAAACAGGGGCGCACTCATTTTGAGCAAAATATCATTTCAATCTAAAGATTTGAACAAAAGCAGTTTTAAAGATTTGCAGTCATTCATTCAATGTGAGGTGTTTGTTTTGTTTTGAGATGTAGTCTTTCCATGGATGGTTGCTTAGGCTGGCACCGACTCCAGAGTAATGGGGATTACAGATACGCAACACCCTGCCTGGCTTCAGCATGAATCTGAGTGCTTATTTTGAGGTGGGAAATGGGAGCAGGGCCTTCACCTGCAACCCCCATCTTCTCTTGGGTCCAGCCCAAATCGCCCTGGCTGGTGATAATTGAGCATGGACTACATACCACAGGCTCTGTGTCAAAGGCTTCTGGGGATTATCTTTTTGTTTTTTATAATGCTGTAGGAGTCGGCAGGCCATCAGCCCCATTTTGAGGTGGAGAAGGTAAGAGAGCAGAAAGTTAAAAGACTGGCTGGGTTCATGCAGCCCCAGGGCAGTGGTGGCAACGGGAAGGTTTCCTGGTGTGATGAATGAGTCATACCTGCTAAGGTCCTTGGCAGCCCTGGGGAAAGGTGCAGCTCTCCTAGGCAGAAGGGAGAGGGCCTCAGCAATGTCAGGAGGGGAGACAGGGGAGTGGGACTTCTGGATGAATGGTCTGCAAAGAATTTGAATCGTTTTGTAAAATGTGATAAAGAAAAATCGAGGAATGTGTGATTCTTTGGTTGTCTGCTGTGCTGGGGACTGAGCTATCACTGAGTCATATCCCCAGCCTAGAATGTGCATTTTAAAAAAATGTTTTTAGTTGTAAATGGACACAATACCTTTATTTTTTTTTTATTATTTACTTTTATGTGGTGCTGGGGATTGAACCCGGGGCCTCACACATGCTAAGCAAGTGCTCTAGCACTGAGCCCCAGCCACAGCCCTAGGATGAGCATTTTTTGAAAGCTTGCTCTGGAGGAAAGGAGAGGGTGAATGTGGGGAACTGTCCTGTTTTGGAAGACGGAGTGACAGCACTACAAGCCGGGAGCTTGGCTTTGCCACCGGAGACCAGTCTTGGTGGCCGGGCCTCTTATCCACTCACGGGCCTCCCCCATCCCATCCTGTATTGTTTTCCCTTCAGCTCCACCTTCAGAGGGGGACAGCTTTCCAGCCTCACTGAATGCAGAGGTAGAGTTCATGGGGTGGAGTTCACAACCAGCACACTCATGCGCTTTGATGGAAATTACAAAGCCACAGTTAAGTGATTGATCAGCTCTGCCATTTTGTCCAGCCCACGGTCTTCTCTGTCTCCATGGCTCAGAGGTGGCCTTGTCCACAGTGGATGGAACTGAGCAAGTCTTGTGCCCTGCCGTACTCTGAAAATGGGGCACATGGCGGAACCAGTGGGCACACACGGGGTTTCTTGTGATCGTCGTGGTTGGCCTGCATGGTGTGCTGGCTGAGAGTGCACGGTTGACCTCCTGCAGAGTTGCAGATGGAGTGTGCACTACAGTTCCCTTTTGTCCACCATGAGAGCATCTTGTGAAATGCATTTCCATGGGCTTTGCACACACCGCCTCTTCGGGTGCTCTATTTCCAGCCAGTAGCCCTCAGCGTGGGACTTCCTCTTTTTTTTTTTTTTTTTCCTTTTTTGGTACCAGGGACTGAACTCGGGGGCACCCGACCACTGAGCCACATCCCCAGCCCTATTTTGTGTTTATTCAGAGACAGGGTCTCACTGAGTTGCTTAGGGCCTCACTAAATTGCTAAGGCTGGCTTTGAGCTCTCGATCCTCCTGTCTCAGCCTCCCAAACCGCTGGGATGACTGGCGTGCCCAGCTTGGGACTTCCCCTTGTACCCAAAGTCCAGCTGGAATCCGGACTGGGTAGCACTGCCTGTGTGGTCGCTGTCTGTGTGGTCACCCAGGTGCCATGGTCAGAACCCCAGACTTGAACACCTCTTGCTCTCTCCTCAGAGTGCCACCCCCCTCTGGAGAGAAGCAGGGAGGAGACCCAGGACCCCGGGCACCCTGCACCTCTGCTTCCAGGCTGGGTGGGTGAAGACAGGGTCTGCAGCCAGGATCTACGGCATCTTCTTCTGTGACCAAAGCTCCAAGGTCAGGGACTCTGTAAATGGCTCGACTCCCTGCCGGCATCCGCTTCATCGTCTCCTTCTCCAGGGATCAGTGGTGAGTCCTGCTGGGTTCACGTGACACAGTGCGAGTGTGGGTGGGGGCCTCCGGTGGTGGGTGACTTTGTTCCATGTTAGAGCGCGGGTGACTGGTCTCCTCTTTAGCGGTTGAGTTGCTGCTGGCCATGGAAGCAGTGGCCCAGAGCCCTGAGAGGCATCCTCCGCCTTTGGTACTGGTGTCAACAGATGGCACTGGGCTCCTTGGCAGTCTTCAATGTTTCTTTAACATCTCGGTCCCTATAGAAAATAGCCACTGACAACCAGCAAGACTGTGAAATGGCAATGGGTGGACTGAACACAGCGACCCCGAGCCCAGAAGGGTGGGCTGGCTGGGGCCGAGCTTTCAGAGAACACAGATCCAGTGCCACTCTCTGTTCCCAGAGCATCTCCCTTGCCAGCTCTGAGGCCGCTCCTCACAGTGGCTCCCAGGAAGCAGGTGGCAGGGCAGAGTCGGCTGTTGTCTGTCCTCCAGCCTCCCCTGCCAGCCTCCCCTGCAGATCCATGTCCAGAGGAAGAACCATCCGTCTCCTACCTTTTTACCATGAGTGCTGGGGGCTAACAAGGACAGATGAACGAGAGAGGGGACAGAATCAGTGGAGGAGAGGTTATAGGAAAGTGTGCTCAGAGGGGCATTTAAGGGGGGCTTATTATCATCTTACATAAGGGAAGGGGGAGGGGAGGCACAGATGAGAAAACAAATGGTTTTATGGAAAGATAAGTGGGCCACTGAGAGAGCCAGGGCAGGTGGGTGGGCATGCCTGCTTCCGGTGGGGGAGGCTGCTCTTCTGTGGTGAGCATTGACCTTCCCTGCCGCTCCCTGGGGAGGGCTTGCTACAGTGGAGTTCTTCTGCGTTGGTTTGGGAGACTCTGCTTTTAACAAATAAGAGATTTCAGGAGCTCAACTATCTTCTGCTCAAAATGATGCTCCTCACTGCGGCCTGTTCTGGACCTGTTCTCCCACACCCTCTGCAGTGTCCCAGGCCCTGCTGGTGGGTGGAGCAGCCGCAGACTCTCTCAGGTGTGATTTAAAATACCTGGGGGTCACTTCCCTGGCTGACTTATTTTATATCTACTGGGACTCGAGCCACCATCTTCAAATACTTAGTGTTTAGCTTCTTTGTTTTGTAACTTTGCATTGATGTAATTTCAAACCCCCAGAACTTACATTCTTTGAATTCTAAGTTGCATTCTTACAACATTCTAAGAATGTTACAAAGAACTATAGGACTCATATGGATCCCAGATGTTGCCATTTGGCTTCTTCCCTGTGTGTGCAGGCAGAGGTAGATAGGGTGTCACACACACTGCATGTTCTAGCCCTCTTAAGAGTTGCAGAGATCAGACCCTTGTTTCTAAATATTTCCATGTTTACTTCCAATGAGCAATATGTTTTCTTGGGCTGGGGTGCAGCTCAGTAGGCGGGCACTTGCCTAGCTTGTGCAAGGGTGCAAGGCCCTGGGTTCTGTCCCCAGGACGGAAAAAGAAAATAAAAGAAAAAGAAATTCTCTTATATAACCTCAGCATGAAGAGCAAAATTGGGAATTGTAGCAGCTATAAAATAACAGTATCTAATTCACAGTCCACATGAAACACAATATCAGTAACGCCTTTGCTACTTCTCCCCTCCGGCTCCCACCGGGATCACGCCCGTGTTTAGTTGTCCTGTGGGTTTCATCTCCTTTTCTCTGGAACCATCCCTTGGCCTTTTCTCTTTTTGCGACCCAGATGCTCTTGAAGGGCTCAGACCATTTATTTTGTGGCCCATTCCTCGTTTTGGACATGTCTGGTGTTTCCTCAGGGTCAGACTCAGATGAGGCGTTTGGGGCAGAAATCCCACAGAGGGGAGCAGCTTTCTTGCTGGTGGAGAAGGAGCCCTAAGATGGGGTCAGGAGCTAGAGTGGATGAGGTGATATGGATTGGCACCCGGGCCCAGGGTGGACTCCTGGAGGTAGATGGGTACAGAAGTAGATGGATGTATTCTATGGGGCATGTGGTCTCAAGGACACTCCTGGGGGTGCCTGGAGGTGCACCTCTGTCCTGGGTTGGCATGGTTTTGCTTGCTAGAAACTTGGGGTTAACCCAGACATCGCTGTGGTTCTGTTGAAATGCTGTCATCAGGATGGCTGAGAAGGGGGCTGGGTGTGAGGAGCACGGGGTGCATTCACTCTTCGTCATGTTTGCCTGAGTCTAAATATGATCCAAAACAAAGTAAAAAGATGGCCTTTACCTAAAGCCACAGAAGGTCCTCTCTAGAGTCCTGGAGGCCTGCTGCAAAGTCGGGGTGTCAGGAGGCCCTCCCTGCCCCCTCCAGCTCCCAGCATTCCTGGCAGGCAGCCACTGTCCCCCTGTGTGGTCACCCGGCCTCCTCCCCATCTCCTTTCTTTTGAGGACACCAGTCATGGGATGTGGAGCCCACCCTCATCTGTGTGACCTCATCTAAGCTGAGTACATCTTCAGAGACCCTAGCTCTGAATAAGGTGGCATTCCAAGTTGTGAGATGACGTGAATTTTTGAAGGACACTATTTAGTTCCACAAAGAATGGATAAAAGGAAATAAACAGCATTTCAAACTCTTCATACATTATTTTAAAAACTGAAGATAAAATACAAAATGCAGAAGGGCTTCAAGGGGTCACTGGGACTTCGGTCACATTGCCCTGGGTTAGTCTCATGTGTGCTCCCCTGAGACCGGCCATATCCAGATGGCACCTGAAGAACCAGCCTGAGCCTCTGCTGCAGTCACACCTTCTTGAAGGAGAAACCAAACCTCTGGCACTGCTTCCTCCCACTCCCCAAATCCTGCGGAGGACAGGGAGGAGGGGCGTATCTGGAAATGGAGGAAGTGGGGCGGCCAGACCAGCCCGTGAAGCCAGGGTTTCCTCCGCAGTCTCTAGGGAATCCCACCTGCCCTGCAGTTGACCCTCCACGGACCCCCGGGGCCGTTCATCTGGTGCTTCATTTCTACACCATAGAACCTGGTTTCCGAGGTGGGGTTGCTTCCCTGGGTGGAGAGCTCTGTGTTTAGGGGGCAGGGAGGCCCCTCCTGGGGGGCACCTCAGCCTGCATACCACCTGCGAGTGCCACCTGCAGAAGAATTAGAGAAGCAGGGCAGGGACAGAGCTGGCCCCAGGTCTCATCCCGGACAGCCCTAGAGGCCAAGAACGCAGTGTGTGCTGGGGCTGGGCACTCGCCATCACCCCATCGAGGGGTGAGGGTGTTATTTCCAGGGTGCGGGTAGTGGATGGAGGGCCTGAGCCTGCAGCCCACCTGCTGGGTCAAGTGGCCTTGTCAGTCTGTAGCCTGTGAGTTCACGGTCAGGTTGCACAGCTCTGAGGTCCAGCGCTCCCACCACGCGCTCCAGGGAGAAGCTGTGCTTTCTCCTCCTGCACTGGCTTGCCAGGTGTTGGAGGAACTGAGAACTCTGTTTGTGCTTCTTGCAGAGATTTGAAAGGGGGTGGGGCAGGGACACCTTAGGCCACACTCGCCCTGCTCACTTTAGAGAAGTGGGGAGGTGCGGGGCTCACAGGCCAGCTGTGGGCTGAAGCAGGTCTGGTCTGGTAGCTCCAGTGCTGGAACCTCCCCATGTGGTAGCTGAGGCACACATGGCAGTGCGGCAGTGCATGTGGAGCGGTTTCAGCCAGAGACTTCCGTGCTCTGCCCCAGGGGTGGCGGTCAGGCAGGGGGACAAAGACCAGACTTCTGCCTTGCGTCCCTGCACTGTAGGCACGGCTCTTGTGCTTTGGGCTTCAGTGTAAACCACGCACTCATTTTTTAGAGTCTACTTTCTTCTCATCTGGTCATTGACGGGCTTGTGGGGGAGAATCCTTGAGAAACCATTGGTGTGTTTCCCTGAGGAAGGAGAGCTGTGGGGCACCTCTCCAGTCAGCAGCCTGTGCCTGGCTAGTCAGTTTGATTTTCTCCTTTCCCCGAGGCCGTGTTTCCGAGGCTACAGGGGAGAGTCCCAAGGTCCCACCAGCCATTTTCCCACCTGACATAGGTCTTCATTATTATTTTTTAATCGGGAAACCCTTATCTGGCTTCTGATTTTTCTGGTAGCCAGAGGGGCAGGTACCCCTCAAATTCTAATCCTGGGTGTGATTCACAAAAAGCTTCCCTGGAGGAGCAAGTCACACATTGCAAACACGGTGAGTGGCGGGAATAATGATGCCACCATCCCCGTGGGCAGGGACGGGCAGGAATGAGGTCATTGTTGATTCCGATGGTTGCCACACGATTTGAAGCCATTGGCCTCTCTGGGCCAGAGGCAGGACAGGTCTCAAGGTGGACAGTGCCTGACACCACAGCAGCAGCTTCCTGGTCGGAGCCCCTTTGCCTCACCTCCTGCCAAGTGCTGTTCCTCCCGCCATTCCCTCCCTAGCAAGTCGTTTTCTGGGTGGGTTCAGTCTGTGGACTGGACTCAACCTCCGCCTCTTATTGCACTTCCTTTCCTCCTTCTGTCCCCCACGCTGCCCAGGCCTGCCCTTGCCCCTTGCTCCTGGCCGTGGCTGTGTGCCAGTGTCTTTCTGTCATGGGCCTCCTTCAGCGCTGGCTGGCGTTGCTGCCTCTCCCTCCTGAAGGTCAGTCAAGTGTCCTGTCTGCCTTGCCCATGTGCCTCTGGAGTGCAGAGACTAAACAGCCTTAAAATGAGCAGGATCTGAAGTGCCCGGGACAGCAGGCGACACAAAGACCTTCTAGCTAACTATTTGTTGTAAAATAATGAAGCAGCCTTTGTGTCTGCTCTGCAAATACTCTGTACTTCATCTGAGTCCCAAATTTCTCTTTAGTTACAGTTTTTTTTTTAATTGACAAATGTGGTATTTTGATCTAATAATAAATAGGTATTTGGCCTCTGCCCCTGATCCGTGGCATACAGCTCCAGAACCCTGAAACGATGTCTTCTTGTGTGCTAGTGAGGGGACAGGTTGCCAAGGGGACAACTATGTGATTAGAGGGTTGAAACTTGGATCACAACCCCTGCGGGAGGAGAGAGGCTGAGGTCACTTGATCGCCAGCGGCAGTGATGTAATCAGCCATGACCATCAAAGCCTCCAGGTGGCTGGACATGGGGCTGCAGGGTGGTGTGGGCATGGAACCTCGCCCTCTCCTGCCCCTACGCTGCATCTGTTCCAGTGGCCTCCCTTGTAATAGCTTCATGACAAACCGGCAGAGGCTCGCAAAGTGCTGCTGTGATACCTGAACCTGAGGGGAGGTGGTGGTAACGCGGACTTATGACCAGTTGGTCACAACCTGGGACTTGCTGACCTCTGAAGCTGGGGCCATCTTCTGCCACGGAGCCCTCGGCCTTGGGACCCAAGGACCCCTGCAGGCAGGCAGGGTCAGCAGGAGTTGGAGTGCAGTGCAGAAGCCCCCCTTGGTGTCCACTGAGAACCGCTCGATGCAGGGACAGCTCCATGTCTGCTGTCCGGAGTGGCGTGGGCGTGGGCGGGTGGGGGTAAGGGCGGGGAAAAGCCGGTTTCTCCTCTTATGACATTTAAATGGTTTCAGTTCAGACAAGTGGCCGTGTGGATTTGTTTTAGGTCGTGCTGTTGTGGTGATGCGTGAGCAGGGCCAACGGCTGATCCCGGGCAGGAGGCGTGCAGGGCGGGCTCCCCCAGCCGTCTCACGCTGCCTCCTCCGCCTGTGCTCTGTTCCAGGTACAGGGCCTTCATTTTCGTCCTGACATTTCTGCTGTACGCCAGTTTCCACTTATCCCGAAAGCCCATCAGCATAGTGAAGGTAAGAAACGACCCAGATCACTCCATTTCATATCCTGCCTAAGCTCTCCATGGGGACCCAGCTATTCAGGAAGTTTGAGGGAGGTGAGGCGCGCCGTGGGCAGGGAGAAAAGAAATGGTTCCAAATAGGTTTTTTGCTGCGTTTTTGGTTTTTTTGCCCCTACATTCCCTTTTCAGAAATTTAGACCTTTAAAATGTTTCTAGGCTTTATAATTTTAGAGTTATTATGCTTGTATAAGTTAGCAGTTCCAGAATTTTCTAGATTATTTAAATATTTACTTTATCTTATGCAAATTTTCTTTCTAAGTACATCCAGTTCTAAGTGGTTTCCCAAATTGCTTCAGCCTCCCACAGAGGTGGTTCTCTGTGACTCTCCGACCCTGTGTGAGGGACGGGCGGGAAGTTGTTGAACAGGTATCCCAGTAGATCTGAGGAAGACCAAAGCATTCCTCCATAATGACCGGTCCCTCCTCCTGCCCACGGACCCTCTGCAGGCTTGGATGGCCTTTGACTCTTGCTGTAGAAGGAGCCAGGAAACTGCCTTGGCAACAGCCCGTGTGCAGCTCAAAGGCCCTTCGCTTACCTTCCCGCAGCTGCAGGCACCAGGTTCAGGACTGTGACCCTGCGACCTTGCAGCCAGCTTCCTCCCCTCCCACAGGGCCAGGCAGACAGCTGCCCTGCAAGTCCTCTGGGCAGTGGGAGGCAGCACCGAGGCCTCTACTTCTGTGACAGGTCTGCATCCCTCCCCAGTGCCTTTGCCTAGACGTCAGGCGCTCAGTGACTCAAAACCTTCTCCAACTCCCCCAGACCCTTGGGAGCCAGGAGTTTCTGCACCCGTCTAGTTACTGACTGGGGATATTTGCAGATCTGTAAGCACATGGTTTTCAGGAGACCTAGAGAGTAGAAAAGAGGCGACGGCCTTAGTAAATTCTCACCTCAGCAGCAACAGGCCCTGGAAGTTTGAATGCTGCTACTTCTTGTCCTTTTGATTAGAGAAATTCATGGACAGCTCAAGAAAATAGCAAATTACAAAAATGGAAGAGACCGCTGCAGAGGGAGTGAGCATGCGGAGCTGGAAGGCACCGTCAAGGGGCCCTTGTAGGGCTTCGAGATTGACCTGGGAAGGTCTGGGTGGATCGTGGGGGAGTGACCGCCTCCAGTACCAGATGGAGGGATGCAGCATCACCATGAGGCCACCCACCTCACGGGCATGTAAGGCAGGGCTGGCCAGTGGAGGGCCCCAAGGTCAGGAAGTGGCCCTTGGACTCCATCTGATGACCACCAGCATCCCTGTCTGGCCAGGAAGGGATGTGAGCATGGTTTATGTCCACTCTGCCAGCTCCTGTCAGGACCCCACCCTGACTCTGGTGTGCAGGAGTGTCCCCTCCTAGGCTCCTAGGGCTTACTGAGGAGGGGTCTTGTGTTAGGTTCTCAGGTCAGTATTTCATAAGGAGCAATAACTGCAGCGGAGGGCCCCCCTGCTGTGACAGGGTGCTCACGTGCTTTGTTCATGGTCCTCACAGCAATCCTGTGAGAATCCTTCCCAGGAAGCCAGGCCTCCCTGCAGGGCTGGGGCTCACTCGGGCAACACTGGTGGCTGCCCTGACTCCGGGTCCCTCTTTAATCACTCTGCCTCGGGGTCTCCAGGACATTTAATCACCTGAGTATGGTCAGTGTCTCAGCCAGATTTTCTTTAACACCCAGAATTTCTGATTTGGCACCACGGGGCTGCCTGGGTATGGATTGGCCGTATGCTGAATCTTATGGGCTTCTTTGCCTTTTAAGATAGATAAAAATACACTCTCCACCTGGTAACTCGGACTTTACGCTCCTTGTGAAGTTTCACAGGCTTTAGCTCATGTTATAAATAACAGCAGAGAAGCTGCAAGCAGTAAGGATTCTTTTGACCCAAGGACCAGTTTGTATAATTACCTATAGCTTGCATTTCTAGAGTTGTTATGAACAAAACTTACCTGCTTACTTGAAATTGGTCAGCAGGGCTTGTAAATGATAAAGTGATTCATGGTTTATAACTCATTTACAGAATAACATGGCCTCTCAGGCCAGGTTTAGACTTGACTTTAATCACTGCTGATTAAGTTTATTTATCTGTGATTAAAAACTGTATATATAAAAATGATGACATGAGCAGGGCTCGGACCGTGGTGGTGTCACACATAACCCTTGTCCCTTTTCCTGCTGCTCCACCCGCATCCTGCCTTGTGATTTGAGGCAGGTGTCCACCCAGGCTGCTAGGGAGGTGAGGTCTGCCAGCGGAGACCTTTGGGGGACCCTTTTCCCCAAGGCCTGGCAGGGAGCTTCTTAGACAGCTAAGATGCTGGTCCCTGGACAAAGGCAGAAATGGGGACATTGCTTAGAGTGTGCCCAACCCTCTCCACCTACACAAGAGCTGTGAGAAGAAAACTTTAAAATATTCAGAGTCAGACGGACAGCAGGAGGTCTGAAAAGTCAGAAGCCCCGCCATGACTTTGGGCATAAACTCACTCTCTAGCACCCTGAGCTCCCTGGGTCTCCCTGGGTTGACGTTTGAACAGAAGGCCGTCCAAGGGACGTTTCAGCAGGGATTTTTTTAGTTGAATAAAATCTTAAAGTTTAAAGGATTCTAGGAAATCATCACTAAAGAAACTGTGGAAAAGATAACACGTTTTGTTGAAATGAAAATGTGAAAAAGCTTAACGTGTTTTTAAATATCAGCTGAGTTATTAAGATATTGCATGAAAATAGACAAAATGGTCTACAAAATAGAGAATATGGCGCATTTGAAGGTGATGAGAAAAGCGTAGGTGTTTATGTACCTGGTTTGGGTGTGGGGATGGAAGCCAGGCCCCCGTGCTGGATCTGCACACACTCCCCCCAGCCCCACGCCTGCTCAGCGTAGCTTACTTAGTGTTGGTGTTGGCACAACTGGGTATTCATCTACAGGACAAAAAGTTCACTCCCTATCTTGATAATAATTATAACTACTAATAATAAATGGGTGATCACATATTTAAATGTAATAAATACAAAACAAAAATCCAAGAACAAGACTGCGTGTCTTAGGAGTATGAAGTTAGGAAACCCAGAGGAACAGTGGACGAGGGGGATGAGCAGGCAGTTCACAGGCCCGGAATCCACACTCCAAGAGATGCGTGAACCACATTCAAGTTTGTTAGAATTCACAGGTGCGGGTTCAGGTCACAGAGATGGCTTTCTGAGCTCAGCCGGCACACTGGGAGCCTTCCCCTGTCGGTGGTGGTGTGTGGAAGAACTCCAGTCGTCAGGGTGTTTGGACAGTATTCTGGGAACACCTACTGAAAGCCCCGGTACAGCTGCCTGATCCTGGGCCCTGTCAAGGGCCAGTGACGCAGCGAGGTGCTGTCTGTCCATGACCCGTCTTTACAGCAGCCCTGGGACTCAGACACTGTCATGCCAGCTCCAGAGCTGGGAGTGCACCTGCGGTCGCCCAGGGCAGGACAGGCACAGTGGTCCACAGCGGCTGCCTGTCTGCAGACGAAGCCTGTGCCCCTGACCAGATGTCCGGCCATGCTCCTCAGGTGACAGCGCCAGGAAGCTTTTTCTGCTGGCGTGTGAATAAATAGATCACTTCTACCCTGTTGTATTTTCTGGGGGTGGTCCTCCCCAGAACGTTACGTGATGAAGGAGTGAAAATGGTGTACCAAGCGGTGGTCTGCAGAATCCCATTTCCTTGCTTCTGCCTAAGGCTGCGTCAGACACCTCAGGTTAGCCCTGCAGACAGTTCCCCTTGTCCTGGCAGTGTGCCCTTCTGTCCTTTTGTCAGGGAGCTGGACAGGAGAGCCTGCAGGCTGTGACGAGGTGGGCTTCTCAGCTGCTGTAAGAAGAGGCTGGGGAGGGTGGCAGGGACACCCGACTTCTGGAGGAGCAGAGAGCATATGAATCAGGGGAGGGGCAGGGAAAGGAAGGCACAGGAACCCTCAGGTCGCTCCTGATCCCTGGGTGGGGCAGGTGGCCCAGGGGGAAGCAGGCAGGTGATAGTGTGGATTAGCCGGACGGGGAGGCCGGTGCAGCCCAGGAAAGCTGTTTGGAGGTGAGGACATTGCGTGTGTGAAGCGGAGCTCTGGGCTGGTTTTACGGCAGTGTTTAAGTGACGGGCAGCCCGGTGGTGATGGCGGAGCATGTTACCCAGAGCAGCCGTGTGCGTGGACCCTGCCAGGGCTCAGTCACTGGTACCCAGGTAAGCAGGCTGTGGACCTGGTGTCCACCCTGGCTGGCCATGGCGGGCAAGGGCTGCCTTTCAGAGGGGACTGCTCCCTCCTGAAGGAGGTGGACAGGACTTCTGGCTGCCACCTACTGGTGACCAGAGTGGCCCCTTGCCCTCTGCGGTGCCCCATGGTGAAGCCAGCTTTCCATGCCATGTCAGCCCTGCCTCTCAGGCTCCAGCTTCCTGAGGTCCCCCCGAGGGACACTTCCCTGACCACAAGGACCCCTCCTTCCTGCCCTTGCTCACACCTGGTGGACTGGTTCATCTGAGCTCTTATTAAAGAAGCCGCAGGACAGGAGAGAGTGCGGAGGCCACCCGGGAGGGGCCACCATGTGACAGAGCAAGTTGCTTGTTCCTCAGTTTCCCCACAACCAGGTGGCCCCAGCTGTGACGGTTGTTCTAGGGAATGTGGCAGGAAGCCCCTGCCCACGTCCCCTCTCTGCCTCCTGACCACAACTTGCCTGTCCCCGTGTCTGCAGCCCGAGTGCTGTGCTAAGCCGTGGTGCTCACCATCACCATCCCACTGACTGTTGTGCAAGTGAGCAGCGGCCTGACTGCAGTGGGGGATGCTGAAGCAGGACAGTGAGTGACCTGCTCCCCCGTCAGTCATTTGGCAAGCTCCCTACCTCGCCCTCCTTCGCCCCAGGGTTGCTTGCTGGTCTTGATGACCCCGTGGTGGACTGGTGGCCTCCTAACCCAGGCATGATTTTAAAACTGGGGTATGATTTGTCCATAGTAAACTACACAGGTGTTGGGTGTCTGGCTGACAAACCTTGGCCTGCATCTGGGTGTCCAGCACCCAGGTCAGGGATCCGGCCCCGTCCAGCTCCCTGAAGGCCCCCTGTCTCTGTCTCCTTGACCCTCCTCTGGGAACCACAAGTCTCATAGCCAGCCCTGTGCACTCATCTGCCTTTTCTTCATAGAGATGGAATCATTCAGAGGGAGCTTCTTAATATCGTGTTTATGAGACTCGTCCTCACTGTGGCACGTCCTGGGGCGTGTTCTTCTTTCTTGTGGTTGTACAGTTGTCTGCATCCGACAAAACGGACCTGCTGCTTCCCTCGTGGGCAGTGAAGGGAATGGCAGGCCATCCTCGGCCTCGACCCCGAGGACACCCGCCTCTTGGTGGCTGTGTGAATGCTCGTTAGTTACACGTGGGTGTAGGAGTGGGACTGCTGGTGAGCGTCCCCACAGCGGCTCCCGAGGCCCTTGCAGACCCCTCCCCAGTGGGCCTCATTTCTGCCTGAGGAGGCAGTTGCCCTAGGACGAGGGACAGCCCAGGCCGAACCTCTCAGGACACTAGTCCTGCTCTGTGCTGCCTTCCTCCCTAGGGTGAGCTGCATAAGCACTGTGCTGGGGGTGAGGCTGAGCCCAGCTTCAGTGGCCAGAGCAGCAGCGCCGGCCACAGGCCCCCTCGCCAGCTCCCGGACAACGAGACTGACTGCGGCTGGGCCCCGTTTGGTGAGTTGAGCGTCAGCCCACCCGTTGTCCAGGTACCCCTGGGCCTGTCGTGTCGCAGCTCTGGCCTTGCTGATTTGAATGCTGTTCTCAGGCGTGAGGGTGTGTCCATGCCAGCCCTGTCCTGGCAAACAGCAGCCATCACAGTGTGGCCACCACGTCTGTGGTGGACAGCACTTGCCACCCTGATACAGTTCTCCAGTGCTCAGGAAACCTAAAGATCTTTTATATTTTGCATCTGTCCCACTTGGAAGTGAGGGCCTGCAGGGCATCCATCTTTGGGTGGGAAGAAGAGAGAGAGGACCTGGTGTGGGAGGCTGAGGTCAAGCCAGGGACATTCAAACACCAGGTGACCTGGCACCTGCCCCCCGGGAACAGTGGGGATCGTGTCTGAACCAGAAGGTGCATATTTAGGGATAACTTGAAAATATGACACTTGATTTTTCTTTGCAAAAAAAAATTGAGCAAAATTTGGGCAACCAAGCTTTCTGTGTTCAGAACCAGCCCTCCTACTTCCTGAGCACCCCCGGATTTGGATTTCGAGAACAGTTGTTTTGTATTTTGTAGCACTGCTCCAGAACTAAACTAAGCTATGCTGAGCATTTCCTGTTGATTTTCCAATCTGTGTAGATAAGAACAACTATCAGCAGCTGCTCGGGGCCCTGGACTACTCCTTCCTGTGCGCCTATGCTATTGGGATGTACCTGAGGTAGGTCTGCTTGAGTTTCCGGATGCATCCCCGGTATGGAAACGTTCCCAGGGCATGGAAGTACACAGGAGTGGGAGGCACAGGGCCCTGCACACAGTGGCTTCCCTCCTGGTATCTCCCTAAGGCAAGGATGAGTCAAAAGCAAGTGTCCAGCACTGTGTCCACAAGGTGGGACCTCAGTGCAGTGTCCCAGGATTTCCATCAACTGGACACAGCCTGCCCTCAGCTTTCCTGGACCTGGTGGTCAGAACGTACTGTGAATCCTGCCAGTCCTGGGCTGTGGTCACAGAGCAAGGTTCACTGGGGTCCCATGGGATGCTTGGCAGAGTGCATCCTCTCAGAGGTTTCCGTGGCTGCCCTCTGTGCACAGACCAAGTGACTCTCTGGTTGGGACGGCTGAGGCAGCTTGTGTGGACACCTCCCCTGGTGCCCAGTTTGGCCCCAAACAGAATCAGAGCCTAGGGGCAGCACCACATTCAGCTGCAGCTGGAGTGGGGACAGGGCTTGGAGATGAGCTCCTGCTTCACCACCTGCCACAGTGTGGCCTTGGGCAAGTGACCGCACCTTTAGGGGCCTTAGTTTCTCCTTTAAAACTGGGGGAGATCATAGTTCTTGCATTATAATTGGTGAGGATGAAGCAGGTAGACCCCCTGGGGCTCAGAACAGTGCAGGGCCGTGAGGGCCTGGCCCTAGGTAGGGACTAGGTGCCCCGCAGGTGCAGGCTGTGGCTGGCTGACCTAAGCTATTCCATTAGTCCAGCGGGGGCTGGTGGGGCACATAGCAGGCACTAAGGTGTTGGAGCCAAGAGGCTGTTGTCCACGGCAGATCTTCAGAGCTCTGAGAACCTCAGGGAAGCCTGTAAACGTTTAGCTCCTTCCATGTGGCCCCCCCTAGAGCCTGGGATCAAGACCCAGGCCCCTCCTGGCTCAGCCCTGTGGTGGCCAGTGCCCCGGTGAGCACCTTCGCAGCCCCTGTCTGCGATGTCCCCATGCTCAGCGCTGTAGCGCGCTTTGAATAAACAGCAAACAGTAAGGATTCAGAAGCCCAGCATGCAGTGCGGCAGGACAGGGGCCAGCCGGAGGGCAGAGTGGTGTGGCCTTGGGCCTGCTCGGGGCCTGAGCTGGCCAGACACCCTCAGAGGTCAGATGTGTTCATGTTATGAAGACTGCAGTTATGCTGGATTCAAACCATCTGTAGTTCTAAAGACCCAAGGCCAGAGTGCTTTTCTTGGTTACTAGAAAGCAGTGTTTAAATCCGACTTTCAGCCAGGGGTGATTTTGTCCCCTAGGGGACATTTAGTAATGTCTGGTGACATTTGTGGTTGTCACAGGAAGGGAAGAGGGTGCTTCTGGCATTTGTGGACAGAGACCAGGGATGCGGTTATACGTCCTGTAAGACACAGGAGACTCCTCACTCCAGTGCCTCTCGCCCCACAAATCCAAGGAGCTGTCTTCAGAAGCCCTGGCACAAGGGAAGGTGGTTTTATTGTTGCTTATTTATGGCAAAGATGACTTTTCATCCAATTCCTCAATGAGGCCATTGAAAGGAAGCTCTCTCTAGCATGAGATGCGCGCTGCAGTCTCACATCTGAGGTAGGGCGTGCGCTGCCTCCCTGCCAGGCCGGTTAGTGTGACCGCCTGGCACTGTGGCCCGCTCAGCTGGCTGTGGAGCCACTACCCAAGGTCTCGGCAGTGGGTGTTTCTTGGTTTGGTATATCCATATGCAGCATGTCCGTGGGCCCAGGTCACTCCTGGAAGGTCCAGCAGCTGCAGAGTGGGCCTGAACCCCTGAGTGAGTTCTTATAATGTGGAGTGGTGTCCACTCCATCAGACCTGCTCTTAAAAACCTTTCAAGTGGACATCAAATATGGACCCCACGTTGGGGAGCAAGACGACAGGCTGCGTCTAAGCCCCAGCTGACGGCACCTGCTCTCGGGGCCCTTCTGGGCAGGCTAGCCAGCCTCTCTGGGCCGTGTTCCTAGCCTCTGAAGGGAGCGAGGTGAAGCACCCCCCCGGGAGCTCCGGAGTGATCTGAGTCTGTGTGTGGTCGGTTCTGCTCAGCTGACATTGACCTGGATGTACTTGGCCTCTTGCTGCCTCTGAGTCAGTGTTGAGAAGGTGGTCCGCATGGCCTGTGTAGATCTGTGTGCCTGGTCGTCTCGGGAGGAAGAGCTCTCTGACGTTGGGTTCTGGTGATAAAAGGTAATGTTGCAGTTAAGACCAGGGGGTCACCGGGCAGTATTCCTAGAGTGATTATGTGACGAAAAGCGGGTCCCTGGCATTTAATGGTTGCATGGGGCTCACATCACCTGTGGTGCCTCTGGCCTTTTACTCACTCAGGTTACACTGTAGCTCCTTAGTGACAGTCCCTGTAAAATCCTAAAGAGTGTGACATGAGGCAGTGTGAGGCCACAGCCTGTTTGGCACCTGCCCTGGCATGAACTGAGTCTTGCCACACCGTCCACCGCCATCGTGGCTCTGTGTAGAGTGCCCCTTACGTGCCGGACTCATGCCTGTTGGTCTCATCTGGAAGCTGGCTCTTGTCCCCGAGTCCTGTCGCTGCTTTGGAGGATCAGGGAAGTCTACCCTGGGCCTCAGACCTTCCTCTGTAGGGTGAGAAAATGACACAGGCGCAGGTCGCTGTGGCTGGACGTGGTGGCTGGAGCCTGGCACATTCATGGGGGAGGGACTTGCTCTGCGTCACTGTCCCCTTCCACGGTGTCCGTCTTAGCTTGGCAGTTGGGATTTAAATGACTCTGTTAGTTGAGTGGACATTGTTTGTATTAAAGCGGGATCGACTAGCAGGACCAGTTTTGTTTGTGTAGCTGGCAGTGTCACAGGTGAGTGACAGTGTGTGAATTTGTTACTTGACGGTTAGTGACTTTTGCTAGAAATGGGGCGTCTCCCAAGGTCTGCCATGGCCTTTTCGGGCGAGGGAGTGAACGTTCCACAGGGAACAGCAGTGTCCAGGCTTCCTGGGAATCACTGAGCTTCGAATTCTGGAAGCTCAGGGAGCAGCGCGCAGCACCCGGGGGGACACAGCGGCGTCTGGGCGGGGTGTGTCTGGTTCCTTACGTCACCTTTCCTTCCCCTCCTCAGTGGCATAATAGGGGAGCGCCTGCCCATCAGGTACTACCTGACGTTCGGGATGCTGGCCAGCGGGGCCTTCACCTCCCTGTTTGGGTTGGGATACTTCTACAACATCCACAGTTTCGGATTCTACGTGGTCACGCAGGTAAGGGTCGGGGTTCCGGTGACAGGCCAGGGCAGTTAAAACGAAGCCCTTCGGAGTCACTCTGCCCTGACCTGGGTAAACTTGAGATGCTCTGTCTCATGACATCTGACCACTTGGGAGTTGGGGGACATGGGGTGTGGCCAGCAGAGATGGAAAGGCTGACTTTGGGGGCCTTGGCAGCAGGCAGGGGTTTGAGAGGAATGGCGGGATCCTGCAGGTGTAGGAGAGGGAGGCCTGGCTTTGCCCTTCTCTCTGGGCCCCTTCCGGGATCTCTGGACCTCGGGACTCTCTGGCTCCAGCCTCCCCACGGTCCTGTGGTGTTGCCCACTGGGAATAGCGACGCCCCTCTGGTTCTGTGATTCTTCTGGGCTTCTCCACGGGGAGTTAGAAAATCATCCAAGCAAACTGTATTTAATTCTGTTTTTCACGATTTTGCCACAATACTTCAAAAGGTTTGGCTGTTTAATTACAAAAGTGATTCATGCTCACACACGGCCGTTCCCAGCATCCGTGGGGAGTGGCCCCAAACCCCCTGCAGTTACCAGAACCCACACCTGCTCAGGTCCCCTCTGTGAAATGGCAGGGGTTTGCTCAGAAGCTGCCCACACTCTCGTGGGCTTCAGTCACCTCCAGATTACCCGCATCCGTCAGACAGGGCACGTGCTCACTCCCACGTCAACAACTGCAGGAGCGCACAATGACAAGCAGAAGGCCCTGCGTGCTCCTGCAGGCCTGGCTGCGGGCTGGCCCTGTGGGTGGTCGAGTCCTCAGACGCGGAGCCCTTGGGCCACAGTAATACAGAAAGTTGGAAGGAAGGAAAAGCAGTTCCCAGAGTCCCCATGTGTTCAGGCCTGAAGGCCGAGCCTGGCCAGGCAGGGCAGCTGCAGGTCGATGGGCGGCACCGGGCTGGACTTGACTCCTGTGGCCTTAGAGGGTGGTCCCAGTGCCCAGCACCAGTACATGCCCCAAGTCCCTTCATGAAACCACGGGGACAGGAGTGCTCCCCAGGCGCTGAGTGCAGTGTGGTCCCTGCAGAGGCTAGCAGCCGTCTCGCGGCACAGGGAGGGAAGATGGGCCTTTCTAAGCCTCTTAATGGTACGGTTCATAAACAGTTCTATAAAAAGAAGAAGCATTTTCTCTCTTCATAAAATTTTTAGATTGCACAGAGCCTGGGAAGCTCAGCCCTGAGCTGTGAGCGGGAGCTGTTCCTGGCAGTGTCCCGCCTGGCGCTTCCTGCTCTTCCCTACTACTCTAACATTTCCACGACGTGCACGTTGGAAGTCTCACCTAAAATATACATTAGAGAGTTTAAACTGTATAGATTTTAAGCTACATTTATATAGGTATCCTATGTATAGAAACTACGTATATATGCTTTAAATCTTATAACTTAAACATTATAAATATGAAATTTTAACTTTGCGTTTAAGGGCTGGGGTGTAGACGGGTGGTAGAGTGCATACTTAGCGTGCACAAGGCTCTGGGTCCCCTCCCAGCACTAAAAAAAATACAACTTTGGCTGCCAAGGCGCGTGCACACAGGAAACAAGGTGTTGTCTGCTTTTGCGAGAGGCCCTGCAGTGTCCCAAGACCCAGGGGAAGGGTGCGGCAGCTGGGGGAGCCCGCCTGAGGGGCCGCGCATGCTCACGCCTCCTCTCACTCCCTGCAGATCCTCAACGGACTGGTGCAGACCACGGGCTGGCCCAGCGTTGTCACCTGCCTCAGCAACTGGTTTGGGAAAGGAAGGTGAGAAAATGCAGCCGTTCCCCCGGGGCCTGTGTTCAAAATATGCTGGTGGAAACCAGACCACCCGCTTCCCAGCTTTCTTCAAAGTAAGATGATTGGAACCTTCAAGTCCAAGGCGGGGGCTACACTGTCAGTGGGTAGAGCCCCACCTCTGGCTGTGTGGGTGGTTCCAGTGTGTGTCATTTGGACTACACCAGTGGTCCCTCTGATGGCCACCCCCTGGATGTAGCCTCACCCAGCCTTCCAGGAGCCGTGGGAAATGCAGAGTCCAGGGACCCATCCCGCTGTTTGGATGCCAAATCTACATTTTAACGTGGCAGTTGGAGAAGTCCTGACCCAGGTCACTCAGTGCATCAGAAACAGGGCTGGGGCCCAACTCTGGTGGTTTGACTGCAGCGCAGGGTCACTTGGCGATGTCCACGAGAACGGACAGCACAGCCAGGCTGCAGTTCGTAAGGGAGGAAGGGAGCTAGCGAGGCACATGCTCCAGGCACCTGGCCTGCGGCACCACAGCTTTCCTTACCCGATGGCTCCTCCTGAGTCTGGGTTGAGCCTGTGGAGTTAAATCCTGGGCCTTCCAAGAATTTCAGGAAAGGGCCTCTTTCTTCTTTTTAATTGTAGAATAAAGAAGCTCTGAGAGAGAAATGGAATGTGTCTTATGTAGCCTGTGGCAGAATGAAAGTCGGGTTCTCTGCTCGGCCTCTTGCTCCTGTGCCCTGGGGAAGGCTCTTCCTACCCACTCAGGCGCCCTGCCCCAGGACCAGCCCAGCTTCTGGGCACCTCACTGTGCTGGCCTTGTGTTGCAGGCGAGGGCTGATCATGGGCGTCTGGAACTCCCACACCTCCGTGGGCAACATTCTGGGCTCCTTGATTGCTGGCTACTGGGTGTCCACGTGCTGGGGCCTGTCCTTCATCGTGCCTGGGGCCATCGTGGCAGCCATGGGGATAGTGTGCTTTCTCTTCCTTATTGAGCGTAAGTATGCCTGGCCCTGGAGGCGGCTAGGAGAGGGTCTCAGCTTCACCTGCCTGGAGGGTCAGGGGCAAGGTGGGTGTGGGCTGCTGCCCGGCTCCCTGCATGCACCCTCACACTGCTGTCCCCTGGCTCATGAGACTTCCTGTTCGTATACAGGCCTACCCAGTGCCCAGCCCCCTCCTGGTCTTGATGGATCTCCCACCGTTTCCTAGTTTCTGGGGTGACCACTGTAGAAATCCCTCCTTCTGCCCTCCTGCCCCTGCCTCCTCCCTCGGCCTCAGGCATAGTGTCCAGGACTCTTCTCCTCCTCAGGCTGCCATGGCACTCAGGCCTGGGGGAGGCCAGCCAACGTGGCCGCCCCTGCTCACCCCAGCCTTTCCTCCACAAATGGCAGTGGACCTGGCCGGCTTATTTGCTTTGTGATAAGCTGTATCTAGAACAACGCTGTAAACCATGGCATGACCTGAGGCTGGATGTCTTAATTAGCTAGAGTATCTACCGGAAAACCAAGACTTTCCATTCCAGAGTCAATACTAAGCTTTTCATTTAACTGATTTTGAAAGTGATTTTCTAAGTAGAGATCCGGCAGGACAAGGATTCGAACGATCATGCTTGACAGAGATGCCAGCCGTTCTAGCCTTGCAAGCTGTTCTGACAGATGTTTGGCACTTAGCTCTTTGATTGACTTGAAGCAGAATACCAGCGTAGAGAGCTCACGTGGCAGGACAGGCCCACTTGACCTCCCCAGGCACGGGGCGCAAGTTAGGTTTCTCTGCCTGGGTTGGGCACTCCAAGATGCCAGCTCATCTTCCAAAAAATGAATGTGTCTTCTCTTTACTTCTCACTTTTTGTTGTTGTTGGCAAAGCTAACCTTGTTTGTTTGTTTGGTACCAGAGATTGAACCGAGGCTGCTTAACCCATGAGCCACATTTTTTTAATTTTTTTATTTAGAGTCAGGGTCTCACTGAGTTGCTTAAGGCCTTGCTAAGTTGCTGAGGCTGGCTTTAAACTTGTGATCCTCCTGCCTCAGCCTCCTAAGCGCTGGGATTACAGGCGTGCACCACTGTGTCTGGCTCCAAAACTAACCTTTTAATTTTTAAAATAACCAGCCTCCAACCAAGTTAGGGTTTTGAGGCTCCAGGACCAGGCTACTATGGAGACAAAAATAGAAAGGAAAATTCAGATGTCGAGTTCATAGGCATGCCCCCGGCCCCACCCAGCCCCACCCATCCTGTGTCAATGCTCAGCCACTTCAGCAGGTGTCCTGTGGCACAGGCAGGCCTTCTGACCTGCTGTCCAGCATGCTAGCGTGTGGCAGCTAACTAACGGCATGCCACTGGCATTTCAGGAAAGGCTGCTCGTACCCACTGCCCCTCCGTGCTGGCTCTGTCCTCTAGTCCTCAGTGGGTGAAAGGGTCAGTTCTGGGGCAGGAGGAGCTGCGTTGTGGAATGGAGTGTATGCTGATGCCTACGCGGCCCAGGACCTCGGGTGGCACCCTAGGCTCAGTGATCCTGGACGGGTGTTGTCCCGCTCAGCAGGGTGCCAAGACAGGAAGCTCTGGTTTGGTCTTTTGTGGTTAAACAGGAGTGTCCTTTTCATGAGCCTCCACTCCCACAGCATGAGGCGTGGGCAGGTCATGCAGGAGGACTGCCCGCACCCCTCCTGTTCAGAGTGACCTGCTGGGCCGCCTCACCCACTATTGCCATGTCTTGGGGCCCTGTTTGCTCCTCCCTCGTCTACACTGGGGCAGAATCGCTGTCTCCACTGTCTGGGCCTCTGGGCCTTGAGCACAGCACAGGCCTTGCGGGCTCCTGGGAGGTTTGGCTAGACCGATGTGGTCCACTGGCCCCTCAGAGCTCTGGCCTCCTCTGTTCTCCTCGGCTCTGGGAGGGAAGCGCCCACTGTCACTGACAGGCTGTCCAGGGACCCAGGGGAAGGAGGCCATGCTGCAGGGTCCAAGTCCCACTCGGTTTTGCTTCCTCCTCTCTCCACTGGTCCCATTCCCCAGTTCCAAGGGGGTTTTCTTGCATATAATATTGGCTTTTAGTCATCACTAGGAAGTTCTGCAGTTCCGTGAGGGCCATTGAGCGCTTCCTGTTCCTAGGGAACCACTCCTCCCCCTGCCCCACCTCGCACCCTCAGGCACTTCCTGGGTCTGCTCCCATCTCCCACCACCCCAGGGCCTCCAGGCTCATCTCACTGCCCCAGCGGCCCCTCTGCCTCCCCTGCTCTGGCCAGGCTGCCTCCAGGGCCTGGCGCGGGCCATAGGCCCCTCCTGGCCTCGCCCTTATTAGCCTCTGGCAGGACGGCTCCCTTGGTGCCTTCCCTGCTGCCCTCTGCTGCTGGGTTTGGCCGGATCCACCTCTTGTATTAGAATCTGAAGGTGACGTTGCTCCTCTTCTCAGAATGGAGCCTTCGTCTCTGGCACCTCTTGCAGAGGTCAGCCCGATGCCTGCCCTGGGCAGTGCTCACACAGCTCTCCTGGCAGGGCTGAGTGGCCTGCCCAAGGTCCAGCAGATGCCAAGTGGCAGAGCTGGCATGGCCACTGCTGGCTCCTCTACGCTAATTTTCTCTGACTTCAGCCATGGACACCTTGGGTCCTTGGGGTATGTTCTTCTGAGTTTCATTTAAATATTTTCCACTTACACAATCTCTTAAAAGACAAAACGTGGTGGGGGTGTAGCTCAGGGCCCTGGGTTCCATAGGCCATAGGAAGCAAAACCGAGTGGGACTTGGACCCTGCAGCATGGCCTCCTTCCCCTGGGTCCCTGGACAGCCTGTCAGCACCACAAAAACAAGCGTCAGTTATAAATGCTGTCTTCTCCTACAGACACGATGTGCATTTGGAAAATGTGCCCTCATGCGAGAGCTTAGCTTCTTAAGTCAGTGTTGGTCCAACCTGGGTCCCTGCAGCCAGCACGAGTGTCCACCGCTGAGGTTCAGATTGTGCTTCCGACAGTTGGCCAGCAGAGCGTGAAGAGGCGGGACACTGGGAGGGGGTGGCCAGGTGCACCCTCACCTCCGCAGCTGTGACCTCAGCCGTGTCTTTTCCTTATGGTTGTTGGAGTGGGAGCCCAGGTGGCGCCTGTCCTCCCTCTGAAACGCTCCTGGGAGTCGGGCGTGCAGTGGTGCCCTGGGATGCACGGGGTGGTGAGGGGTTGCAGGGGAGCACGTCCCTGTGGGTGCTTTCTGTGGGAGCGCGGCTGTCATTCCCGTGGAGCAGCGCCGCCCAGCCTCTGGCCCTGCACGGAGCATGGCCACGGTCCCGCTCTGGTCCATCCTGCGCGTGGGCAGCATTGCTCACACTGGTCTCCTCTCTGCTCTTTCAGATCCGAAGGACATCAGATGCTCCTCCACCCTGTCCATGGTAAGGCTCACTCCAGTTCTTGTCACCTTCTGGACCTGGGTGCTATTGGCCGCTGTCCTCACCCCGGGCCTGGCTCTCTCTTGGCTGGCCGTGGCTGTGCCCATCTGGTGCAGTCTGGATTCCTCACTGAGGGAGCCAGGGGCAGGGGCCTGGCAGAGCTTCTCCAGGAGGGGCAACCCCCTGGCTCTGCCCTGGGGCCGGGGTCTGCGTGAGTGGAGAAAAACACTCGGGTGAGCTGGTTAGCTCACCCCTCAGAGGGCTCCGGGACTGCCCAGTACACTGACCGTGCTCCTGGTCAGGTTAGTTGCACGTGGCCCTTCACCTCTGCTCGTGTGAAGGCCCTTGTCCTGGTGACCATCGGCCCTGCAGCAGGGCGCACACCCTGCTGCCTCCCTGCCATGTCCGCTGCCCTCTGGAGTCACTGTCTCGCCTTGGGCCAGCCTCTTGGCTCCTGTCCCCTCTCCTGTTTGGCCTGGGGGGCGGGCTCCTGCAGTGCCCCCACCTCCATCCAGCCCCACTCCCATACCATTCCTGGCGCGTCTTGTGGTATGAACTGCCATCTTAAAAGAAAGGCCTCTGGCCTTCTGTCCTGCTCCAGGCCAGTCCCCTCCTCTCCTTGCGCTCCCACCGTTCCACTGAACTGGCCACCAAGGTGCCAGCAGCATCTGGTCATATGGGGTGGGCATTACCTCTCTCACCCAACTTGAGCTGACACTGCTGTTTGGCTGGGCTGTCCTCCCTCCATGAACTACTCTCCTTGGACTTGTGGTGGTCACCTCACCTTGCTGGTTTTCTGGTGGCACACTGGCTAGACGGCCTGGGCAGTGTTGTGGCCCCTCTGCAGAGCCCGCTCCTTAGCCTGCTCGGCCCTTGTGCACCTTCCGCTGCAGGAGAGCCTCACACGCTGCTCCCAGCAGTCGTTGTGCGTTGACACCATCGTCCCTGAGCTCCAAGGTCATTGATCCCACTGTCCACTTGAGCTTCCCATGGATCCATCTGGTTGTCCCCTCGGACCTAGCACGACCAGAGTAGATCTCTCGATTTTGCCCCATAAACTCACTAATCTTGGCATTGCCCATCTTGGCCCAGGGCCCCTGACCACCCACGGACAGACACTCTCATTCGTCCAGCCCCTCTGGCCTCCACGCCACCTGTGCCAATCCTGTCGGTTCTGCTCTTAGCGTGGGTTTGGGGGGTGTGGTACGGACACGCTCTTGTCACCTCCACCTGCCTGGCCCTCCATGCTCCTCCCCAGAGTCCTCTGTGCTTCAGATCACTCCTCACACTCCCCCTGCAAAGACCTCTCCAGGCAAAGGCAGCACATGTCCTGGCCTTGCCTGGTGGCTCTCAGTGGACATTTCACTGGGCAGGAAGTCCTTTTCACCTGTCTGCTCTCTGTCCCCACTGAAGCAAGGACCCCGTCTGTCCTGTCCTGCTGCAGTCCTGGCCTCGTGCAGGAGAGGGCGCCAGAGCTCCCTTCCCGCCCATTGCTTAATAGACTGGTAGGGCTTCCGCCTACAGTTCATTTGAAACAAAGGGTTCTGGTGTTTTACTAAACGAACAAACAAAAAAATAAGAAAATGAATTTTGAGAGCCACTATCTTCTGGATGATTAAACATAGTATGGCTTTTGAAACTGTAGTCACTAGAGGACGTTCCTGAAGCCATTTTCCTGCCGTGGCCTGGGGTTCGGGGTCTGGGGCTTGTAGAGACTCAAGCCGAGTTTGTGCCCAGTATGCTCCAAGAGCCTCTGTGGGGCGCACGTGGGCTCCCCTCCACCTAGCCGGGCCTTTCCCCCAGTAGTGTCTGGGCCTGGGGATGGGCAACGTGGACAGGCAGGGCAGGGGCTTGGGGAAGGGCCTGTCTTCCTCAGAGCCAGCCCCTAGGAGTCCGCAGAGCAGGCCTGGGCCCCGGGAGGTTCTTCTCCCGCGGTGTGCGTGCACCCGGGCTGCCACCTCTGCTTCATTTTGCTCTTCGAATCTTCTCTGAGCAGTTCACTGAGCTCGCTTGGAGCCCAGGTGCCCGCAGGGCATGGGACAGCCTGGTCCTGGGGCATGGCTCCTCTTCCTCTTCCCCTCCCTGTCCCTGGGGCTGCTCCTTGGGTCATGGAGAAGTTGGCGTGATTCTGGGGACATTGCATCAGCTTCTGCAGACGGCCAGCGCTCCCTCTTCTGAGAACATGTCCCACTGAGTGCCCCGTCTTGCCACACAGTCCTGACACAGCCCCAGCAAGGAGGGAGGCAGCCTGGCCCACCCAGAGTGCTGTTCCTCTGTGTGGCGGGGCGGGGGGCAGGTAGGAAGCAGGCCACCAGGAAGACCTTTGAGCTGACTGGCTCTGAGGGAGCTGTGTTCTGAGGTGTTATTTCATGATATGGTCCTTATTTTTTCCAATATTTTAGAGTTTTTGTTATGGAAATTTAAAAACCTAAAAAAGTTAAAATAATTACAGGATGAACTTTAGGATTTCCAAAACAGTCTGGAAAAAGAACAAAGTTGGAGGAACAATCGCCCTGATTTCAGTGCTCCCTGCAGAGCTGCCGGAACTGAGCAGACGCACAGTGGGTGGGACTGAGAAGCCCAGAGAGGACCTCGTCCTGATGGGCAGTCGAAGTGACAGGAGCACTGGGCGTCCAGCGGGTGAGGGTCATCACAACACAGGCGCTGGGACAGAGGCACCACACCATAAGTTAAAGTGGACCAGGGACCTAAATAGGAGCTAAAACCCTTGGCAGAAAACAAGGAGTGCGTCTTCATGACTTCAGGCCAAGCCTCCTCTGAGCACTTCACTGAGCTCACGTGGGGCCCGTTGCCCTCACCCTCTCCGCGGGCCACCTCCTGGCGTGCCCTCGGGTGTGATGCCAAGAGTGCAGGGGTGTACCTGTCCCGTTTCTGTTGTGAGTAACACAATACTGTGGCCGGGTGAGTGTTAAGACAGAGGTTATTAGTGCCCTTGGCTCTGGGGTGCAAGGTCGAGGGCTGCCTCTGGCAGCAGCCTTCCTGCTGGTAGATCCCATAGCACCAGGCAGGGCGAGGGTCAGCCTGCCTGTGTATGAGTCCTCGGGAAGCCATCAGGATTCCGTTGTGGGGCTCCGCCCGATGGCCTCATCTCGCCCCAGTCACCCCTCCCGGGCCCTTCCTCCAAACAGCACAGTTAGGTCCAGTTTCCACACTCAGATACCTCGCAGTGCAGCTGGACTTCAACAGGCAGCGCCTAAGCCACGCACAGAATCAAAACTTGCATCATTCCAAGGGAACCACCCAGAAAGTGAAAGCACAGCTCCATAGAACAGGGAGGGAAATATTTCCAAATCATGTCTGATAAGGGACTGTACCTGCATATATAAAGAGCTGTTAAAAACCAGGAATCAAACAACAAGCCAGTTAGCCAGGAACAACGGGGTGCACACCTCTAGTCCCAGCAACTTGGGAGCTGCAGCCAGAGGGTAGCAAGTTCAAAGCCAGCCTCAGCAACTTAGCAAAGCCCTATCTCAAAAGATTAAAAGGGCTGGGGCTGGGGCTTAGTGGTAAAGTACCCCTGGGTTCAATCCTAGTACCAAAAAAAAAAAAAAAAAAAGACAACCAAGTTAAAAAGTGGTCCAAGGATCCAAACAGACAATTCTCCTAGGAGGGTATACAAGTGGTCCGTGAACACACGAATAGCTGCTCAGCATCACCAGCCATCAGGAAAATGTGCTCAGAACCACTGAGGTACATCCACACCCCATGGGATGGCTGGGATCAGCGACAGACAAAAAGTGTCCCTGAGGTGGGAGCTCACTGCAGTGCAGGTGTGAATGGCCTCGCGTGGGGACCAGCCCTGCAGTTCCTTGAAGAGTCAGGTGTAGGCTTGCGTGTGGCAGCAGTGCCACTCCCCAGAACCTCCCCAGGGAGAGAGCTCGTGTCCTCCGTAAAGCTTGCTCACGGATGTTACTGCATGATGTGTAGTAGCCACCACATGGTCGCAGCTGCAGTGTGCCGGCTGGTGAGCAGCTGAATAGAGCACAGGGTGCAGGGCACTCCACGGTGAACCCCCCAGCCCCGTGCACGTCCCAGTGCCGTGCCACTCAGCTGCGCCCAGCCCCCCGTGTGAAGTACCCAGAAGAGTCAACTCGAGAAACGGAGAGCAGATGGGTGGGCGCAGGGCGGCAGGGCCTGGGGGCGGGAGGGTCTGCTCCTGAAGGTGACAAATCTGTTGTGAGATGGGCGTGGTGATGGTTGTGAACTCTGAGCTGCACCCTCCAGTTGAGCTTGAACCATGCCCTCACCGCGCCGCCTCCTGGTGCTGCCGTGGGTTTTAAGGCCCAGGTGTTCTCTGTTACCACACCCGTCAGTGCCCGGGCTGTGGCACGCGGGGTTCTGTGTGGTGCTTAAACAGGTCCAAGCACGGTCTGTCCACCCCTTGGCCAGCATGTCCCTGGAGCCTCTCATTGATAGGTCGCTGTGTTTATTTTTCTGTTGAGGAAAGCGTGTTTGTCCTGTGGGGTTACCCACATCAGGGGCTTCATGGCCACTTCCCCGGGTGCTTCTAGCATGCCCCTCTGTCCCCATGTCCTGCAAACTGGTAGCCATGGTCCAGCCCAGAACTGAATTTCCCAACGAGTTTTCCTTTCAACTGAATCACAAGAACTGTGAATTGGAGGCTGGGGGTTGTTTCCTGTCTGCCTCAAGTCGGAGGATGCTAATGAAGCAATGTGTCTCTGCATCGGCCTCCTGCTACTGAGGAGCTGTTGGGATTGGTCCTTCCGGTTCATCCTGCTCTCTGTGTTATTTAGGTTTATGGCATCTGTGAGGGACCCCAATCTAGGGCCCATGTTAGGGCTTTGACAGATTTAATGCTGTTATCTCCAAGCAGAAGGGAAACGCACAGCCTTCTACCGAAACCAGGTGGAGAGGTACTTCTGTCTTGCCTCACCAAGTCGAGAGGTAGCCAGCCGCCCAGGGTGAGCCATGTCCCAGGGTTGAGGGACCCAGGCTCCTGCCACTGCTGTACCCCTGGGCATGGGTTTCAGGCCAAGATGGTCCACCCCGAGCAGTCCTAACAGTGCCTGGCACAAAGTGGAGGCTTAATAACTGTGAGTGAATGAGCGGGTGGTCAGTCCAGATGGGGGCTGGACTCCAGCTCTGTCATCTGTGTCCTAGCCAGTGGGAAGGAGCGCAGGCCCCTTCCCTTCCCGGACACTTCCCCAAGGCTCCTCACTGCTGTGCCTAGCTGTCCCCCGGAGCTGCAGAGGGGCTGTGGGATGGGCTTTGCCTTGAGCCCGTGTCCCTGACTGAAAGGCCTGGGCTTTGTCCACGGGGAAGAGGACGTACATGCATGCTGGCTTTGAGAGCAGGCCAGCCCCTGCCTCTGACTGGCCTGGTGAGGGGACACACCGGGTCCTTGCCTGACCTGGGCATTTCCCTTGCAGGCACTAAGCCCAGGCTTCCTCAGAAGGGCTGTCGCCCCGTTTCAGATGGGGGTCCGCAGAGCCCTGCATGCAACGTGGGTCTGGTGGTCCACCTGACAGTGACAGCAGCTCCAGCCAGCTTGTCTCTGGACCCCTGGGACGCTGCCTGGCCCCCATAGCAGGTGGCCCTCATCGGGTGTCCCTCCCTCACCCCTGCGTCTCCGTCTGTTCTTTAAGAAAGGAGTTTATTTTCGCCTTCTGTGGTCCGAGACTCTGGAGGTGAAATTGAACTACTCTCCAGCCCATTGTTTTATTTGAACTATTTCTCGTATTTTCTCTTTGTCGTGTTTGTGGGGACAGGAGGTATCCTTGCCACGGTAAAGGTAGCTGAATTTCTGGCTGTTGATTGAATAACTGCTCTAACTACGTTTTTCCTCCCAGCACTCCAAAGGCTACGAGAACACAGTGGACAGATTCAGACTCCACAAGCCAGTCCTGCACGGCGAGAAGAGCAGGCCTCTGGTGAGTCGCGCAGCGCGGGCTGCAGGCCCTAAGGTCCTTCAGCCACAGGGCCGCCCATTCCCCTGGGTGTGCCACCAGCTTCCAGGGTCTTTACAACTTGGACCTCGGAGTTTCACCAGTAAAGCTTGGCCTTCTTTGGCTACTAAGCCAAACCTATTTTATGTTTTAAATCAAACGTGAAAGTGATTCACTCGTTCAACAGCTGTTTCCAGCATTCGGTGTCCCAGCACTGTTCCCTGCTGGGGGGAGGGGAGGTGGGGACAGATGGGAAGTGAGCAGAGGTGGGGCTGTGTGCAGGAGGGCCCCGAGCAGGAGCTCTCTGTTCCCGGGGGCTGCCCTCAACGGGTGGCAGGGTGCAGGGTGCAGAGCAGGAGGAGCCCACAGGTCCTGCGCCTCGAGGGGTCGGCAGGGAGCACGCAGGGGTGGATGTGAGCTGCACCCCAGACCCAAGAGCAGGTGGGGGAGAGAGGAAGAGCGTGCGCAGGCGCCCCGCCCTCCCGCCTTGCAGATGAGGCACAGAGCTGCTGAGCTGCTGCTCTTCTGTGGCACTGGGAGGCTCCTGCCGACACCCGGGGCCTTTACCCTCCCTTCTCCTTCAGGATTCTTCCAGAAGCCCCTCATCCCTGTGACTTAACTGACTGTACTGAGCATCCAGGGCCAGTTCAGACCTGGTTTTAATCCTAGAAATAAGCTATTTTCTTTTTACATCAAATTGCTTAAAGGCTAAACATATCAACATACTTTTTTCTTTATTTTCTGGGGAAATTTATTTGTGGTGGTTGAAACATTAATAAAGGGAAGCTAATATCTAGTGCTTCGTCTTCCTTGGATCTTAGGGAGTGTGGGCACTGGCTAATGCAATCAAAAATGCTTTAGTCTGTATTCACTGCTGAGTTTATAGGTTTAAAAATCACATCTTAATGTCCACCTGGATGCAGCTCCTGATGTTCCTACAGATTGATTGACCTTCTCCTCTGATCTGGACCACAGGCCCTTGTTCTGATGTCCTCATCTGAAACTAGCCTTGCTCTGAGTATAGCTTCCCTCTTTCCTTTTCTGTCCCTTCTATAAAAGCCTATTCGCTAACATGCCACCAAAGTGCCAGTTACATATTTAGAAGCCCAGCAGGTCATTTCAGGCCAAAGGAGATAGGAACAGGGCCAGACGGTTGCTGGCAGCTCGCTGGGCATCCACTCTCAGCAGGCCCCTGCCCCTGGCCCTTGCCCTTGGTTATGGTCAGCAGGCAGTGTCCCATCAGCATGGCGGGACACCCTGGCTGTTCTCTTGCCCAGAGTGATGCGCGGGCACCGACCTCCCACTTCCCACACGGTGCTGTGGCCTCTGTCGGTGCCGGGCGCATCCTTAGTGGCTAAATGAAGCATCAGGCCAGGGAAGTGAACGCGAGAAGGAGCCAGAGCTCTGGTGTCGCGTGGGCAAGCAGCAAGCCCTCCTCTGGTCCTCCTGGGGTTGGTGGTCAATTGCTTGGGATGGTCCTAACGTGCCATCCCTGAGGCCACTGTCCTCCCTAGCCTCTCTGATTGGCTGTGGCTCAGAATAAAAGACACAGGGCGGGCGTGTTCATACTGTGTCATTCCATCTGCACCTTTGGGACAGATGTGTCCCAAGCTCTCCCCTGGTGGCCTTCCTGCAGCATGGTGCAGACAGCTTGGGGCCCTCTTGCGCATGCCCCTCATGTGTGCCTAAGCGTTGATCTGATAGTGTGTCTGTTTTCCTGTCCCCTCCCCTCCTGCACCCGCCCTGCTGGAGATTGGACCCACTGGGTTTTCACAGTAGAGGGCCCTTTGCTCCTCGAAAGGGTAAATCCCGAGAGGGGAGTGCTGTGGTCCGAGCAGCCCCTGCACCCAGCAGGCTCCACAGGCCCTGCATGATTGAAACCTGCTTGAGTAGGGGTCAAGAGTAGGGTCTCTTTGGCCCTGTGTCTTCTTTTCCATCTCCTCCACACTACAAGGGACTGGGTCTTGGTGACAGGGAAACCCAAAAAGGGTGGCGGGGATGTGGGCGCAGGGCCTGTTCCCCACCGGCACAGAGCTGGGCTCCTCTCTGCTGCAGGAGCTCAGGGCCTGGTCTGTGGCTTTAAGCCCGCCCAGCAGGTGGCGCCCTGGAGCACCCTAGGAGTCCTGGAAGGGCCGTGGGGTGGCCCGGCATCTGGGGCTGCTCTGTGGCCCCGGGGCTGGTGTGTGGCTACAGTCCAGAGCGCCCCTTTCCTGGCTAAGCAGGCCCTTTGCCCTTTCATTTTCTGTGTGGCTGCACTTCATCTACCGGCTCACCAACGCCTTGTTTAGAAAAGCCAGGGGTGTCCTGCGGTTCTCAGTCTAGACCCGGGGACCAACCAGCCTGGGCTGCCCCCAAGACTGCTACAGTAGGGCAGTGCCAGCCTGGCCTCAGGGCTCTTGGGTGCCCAGGAAAGTCCTGGGTGCAGCACTGCGGGTGATGGCGTCTCCTAGCATCGCTCCTGAGAGGGAGTCAACTCCCAAACTCAAAACGCGGCTCCTTGATTTCCTCCACCTTAGGGAGTCGGTGTTGGGAAGCTGCAGGGCTTCACCCCTGGGCTTCACCGCCACACGGAAGCATCAGACTGTCCGGGTCAGTGTGAAGATGTCAGTCAGCCCAGCTCTGGATCCGAGTCCTGGTCAGGGCTCCTAGCCTCTGGGACCACACAGGTCCCGGGCACCTGAGGCCACCATGTGGGAATGCAGCTGCTGCAGCCGCCCCACCACCACCACCTTTTCCCTAATTTCTGTGTCTCCCTGAGGGAACTCTAAGTACCAGGGGTAGGTGTGAAGTGCGTCACCATTTTCATTTCTTGTTCTTTTTGAGGATTTTTATTGTATTTAGAATCCGGCTCCCATAGGTCACAGGGAGATAAATACAATAAAACCTCTTTGATGTTGCAAAAAGTCTAAAACACAGAGAAGTATCTCTTGTTCAGTGCTTTACCTTCCAGTGCAGCCATGAAGAGACTCTCCAGATCAGCCTCATTCTGACTTCAGACTCCTCCCTGACGTGGGGGTCCTCTTCTACACTTTAACAAGTGCATACTTTGTCCCTTAGGAATGCTCAGAATATGATAAAACACAAAAATCAGAATTGGTTTATGAATTTTAAAATAATACTGCTTCTGATAATATATGTCCATTGTGAACTCCTTAAAAAATTCAGGATTATATAAAAATTTCTTACCTACATTTCCTTCAGGGACAACCCTTGTTTAGATTTTAACTTTTTTCTGTCTAGACAAAGATCCTGTAGTTAAGTACCTACCCAGCAGGATGCAAGCATTCTTTGAGATCATAATGAGAGTGTTATTATTTCATGTGCTGAAGTATTTTCCTATGTTGTTAAACATCTTCTAACCTTCTTTAAGAACTTCAAGGTGTGCCGTTTATGAGGACAAACTGTATTGACCAACATTTCTCCGCAGTTGCGCAACATTTATTTTATCCTGTAAACATTTCTTCACTTTTCACATTTTTCTCAGATTGCTAGAATGTCTAGATCAAAGGACTTTGTGTTTCACAGTGTTTCATAAAACGCGATCATAAAGCACTGGCCGTGGTGGGACGGTCATCATGTCCCCGAGTGGTGCCGGACAGCGTCACTGAGTGCTTAGGGCGCTGTCTCTCTGCAGCCAGACCTGCCAGCTGATGACACCTGTGTTTTTTCTCTAACGGACCCTCACCCAGGACCCAGAGATGCAGTGCTTACTGATGGCTGACGGGAAGAGTTCCATCTGCCCGAGCCACGTCGTCGTCCTGCCAGGGGACAGCGGGAACAGCATGACCGCCATCAGCTTCACGGGGGCCTTGAGAATCCCGGTAAGTACCTGCCGGGATGCTAACTAAGAAGGCGGGTAGCAAGTGGGGGTGGCACCGGAGCTTCAGGGCCAGGTGTGGCTGCAGGAGTGCTTAGTTGCATGCTGCTATTTCCATTGGTTGAAATTAGCTATTCCATTCGGAAAGTCAGGGATTTCCTAGACAAGTGAGACTCCCGGTCTTCACTTGGAGAACAGATTCTGGCTGCCCCTGAGGCCCTCTCTCTCTCCCTGGCCCCAGCCAGCCCTGGGGCTCTCACCTTCCTCCCAACGGCCTCAGTGTGACCTGGGGAGGGACCTCACCTGTGCCTGGTCCATGGCACCAGGCGGGTCCAGCTCCGTCTTCTCCCCCTCTGAAGTGCCTCAGCAGCACAAGCCATGCCGGCCCTGGGTGCCAGCAGGAGGATGCGGAGTCGGGGTGTGGAGACCGAGGGGAGGCAGAGAGTGCCTGAGAGAGGAGCCGTCGGGCCTCAGTGTCTGGACATGGTCCTGGTCTACAGATTTCCTTGGGTTGGCCCTGGGGCCGCTGTCCGTGGTGGCAGTGTCCTGTGGTGGCAGTCTGCCTGCATGGGGAGACTCCAGGACAAGGCTGTGTACGCAGGTGGAGGCAGGGGCGCGGTGGTGAGAACTCTTGGTGTCTTCTCATTTCTCCTGTTCAGTTCACGGGCTTGCTCAGCCGTGAGGACAGGGAAGGCAGCGTCCCTCCCAGGGCTGGAGGCCACGCAGGCCAAGGCCAAGAGCAGAAGCAGGGGACACAGCAGCACCCGCCCCAGGGCCGCTTTCAACGCAGCCAGAGCATGTGGGGAATGAGTGGCCCCACTCAGAGGGACAGGGAGGAGCCAGGGATGGGAACGGTGTGACCCAGAACTGAAAAGTCAAGAGAATTAAAGGGCAAGAACTGCTGCTTCAGGACAGAGGGTGCCACCAGGGCCCCCAGGAAACTGGGTCCACAGCAGTGAACCTGGGGCGGCCTCTAGCCAGTGGGAAACACCGGGGCTCAGGCCTGGCCACCTGATCATGGGAAGGCCTCTGCCGGCAGCCCGTGGAGATGGGACATTACGTGAAATCAGTTTTAAGATTGTGTTAGTAACAGCCGAGGGTTCTCGGTGCCTGACTGTGTGCCACCCCTAACACTGATGCCCTACACGGGGTCCGGGAGCCGGCCCAGCCCTCGGCCACTACTGCCCGGCTCTGTGGCCCTGCCCTTTGAGCCTCCTCTTCCCCATCGTAACCTGGCTTCCCACCTGCAGTGATCTGAGGACCAAGGGAGATGGTTCAGTTACAACACTGAGCAGCGCGCCAGGCACCGGGTCAGGACGCAGGGGACACTGTGTCCTCACAGGGGACATGCCCTCACACAGCGTGCCCAAGGAGCCACCCCGCTGGCTAGAGGGGTGGAGGGGTGGAGGGGTGGAGGGGTGGAGTGGTGATGGATGACGGCATGCGCAGACATCATGGCAGTCAGCACCAAAGCGTCTTTGGGATTCTCACGTGTTCCAAGTGGGATCTGGAGTCACTGTGTCACAGGTGCCACCACTGTGTCATGGGCTCCCAGAACCCACCCAACTCCAAGCCTCGGTGTACTCGCCGCTGCCCTGCGTCTTCCACAGCATCCATGGTTTGTGCTGTGACCAGCAGATGCCGTAGCCTGGAGGCAGGGGGGCTGTCCAGGGTGTCCTGGCTGTTGTAATTCACAGTGACTTCAGGGAAGACGCAGACATTAAATGCTCAAAAGCAGGTGGATGGCCCAGGCCGTGCCCTGTGCGACTCCTGTACTCCTGAGTGCACCAGGCAGTATGGGATGCGTACAGCAGGGTGCAGTCCATCGACCCCACTCTGCCGTGAAGACGGCCCTCCCCTTGACAGGCAGCTGGGCTCCCTCGGCACTTGTGGTCCTGTGGGGTGGGTGGCCCTCTCCCAGGAGGCCCCGGGTTTCCCAGGCGTGGAGTGGCTCTTCCTCGGTTGCCTGCGGCAGTCCTGCTCTGAGTCTGCCTGTGGTCTCACCAGCTCGCTCTCTCTCTTGCAGGGTGTGATTGAGTTCTCTCTCTGCTTGCTCTTTGCCAAGCTGGTCAGCTACACTTTCCTCTTTTGGCTCCCGCTGTACATCACCAGCGTGGGTGAGTATGCAGTCCATTCCAGGCACTGACAGCTTTGAACCCCGCGAACTGGTGCCTGGAGATGGCCGTGCACCATGACCCCAGGGCCAACGTGGCGACAGGCAGCCCAGCCGGAGGGAGTTTGGAGATCAAGTTCTGTTGTCCTACTAATAACCTTCCTGGGGTTTAAAGGGTTGAGTGTTCTGTCCCAGCTCCGGCCCCTAATTCCATGGGGTGCTTCCTATTCTGGGCAGCCTGCATTTAAATCTGGGCCACGTTGGACTTTGGAACCAGTGGGCCATGAGGGATCCAGATAATAAGCCCTTAATAGTCTGGCCTGGAAATTGCCTCTGGGAGGTGCATTCTGATTCGAGGGCAGACTGACCGTGTTGTGTCTCTGGAGCCCAGCAGTGGCTGAAGCTGTGGGTTATGACAGAACCTCCCCAGAGTACAACTCGCATCCCATGTAGACACGCAGGATGACAAGGGGGCCTCAGCAGCCCAGGAGAGGGGCCTGTGGAGGAGGTGGAGCCCTGTGGACAGGGTGGGGTGTCTCTGCAGCACCCCACGCCCCCGTCCCAGGGGGCCTGGGGAAGCAAGAAGGAGAAGCCACTAGGGGAGAGGCAGTCTTGGAGGAGCCGGGGTGGGGAGCTTGAGGATGTGGGAGGGTTGGAGGGAGCAGAGCAGGTGCAGGTGGTCTCTGAGGGTAGAGGTTGGAGAGCCTGAGGTTCTGGAGCCAGTAGATGTGAGGGGAGCTCAGGGTCAGGGAGGATCTGTCCATCACACTCCTAGAAGGACCAGCCTGCAGGGTGGCGGACAGAGGGTGGGTGCAGGCTGCCAGGAGCTCCCTGAGGCTCCCTCCCTGATGACCCCCCTCGTTCCAACAGGAGCACAGCACAGGCCAAAGGGCAGGCCCTTGACGGGAGGCCATGCACTTTCTTTCTCCTTATTCCCATGTGACAGCACAGGGTGACACTTTTCAGACTCAGATCTCACACTGCTGGCCTGGCCAGTTTGAGTGACTGAAAAAAGCTGAGTTCCCTGCATGTGACAGCAGGACTTGCCCATGCTGCCCAGCCTCCTTGAAGCACAGAGCTGTGGGGTCCAGAGGAGACCCTGAGGCCTCTGTCTTGCTCTGGGGCCCGGAAGGCCTGGTCCCTGCCGTGTACCGGGCGTGCGTGGCAACACTCCTGTTTGGCCCGAGGCACAGGCCAGCTTCCCAGGCTCTCCTGTCCTGAGCCGATGGCCCTTTGTGCCGTCCTGCACTGCCAACTGGAGGCAGGTGGTCGCAAGGCTGGACCGGCCACTCTGGGCTTGGGCTGGCCACTCTGGGCTTGGGCTGGGAGTATCGTCAGCCGCTGTATAGCTTTTTTGTTCTTTTTTAAGTGGAGGTAAATTGCTCCTTGACGTAAGTGGCACTTGGGGGCAGATTCCCCTGGGGCTCCTCCGGAGCTCACAGTCCGCTCGTTTTGACAGACCACCTCGATGCCAAGAAAGCCGGCGAGCTCTCCACCTTGTTCGACGTGGGCGGGATCTTCGGTGAGTTCGTCGCCCGCTGTTCTCTTTGGGAGTATCTAACCTTGCTGTTCACACCCATGAGTCAGTTTGCTGCTGGGAGGGATCTGTGGACCCGAGTGAGCTCAGCCATCACTCTGGGGGGACCTCCATCTTCCAGGCCCTGCCTCTGTCCTTCAACAAGCTGCCCTCAGAAATGGCAGCCCCAGGCACGTGAGGAGAGGCAGTATTTGTACCCTAGCAAGTGAAGGGGCTTCCTGGTTGGCCTAAAAACCTCAACCCGGACCCCAGGGTTCCTCCAGGGCTCACATGGAACCCTACCGGGCGAGGCCTGTAGGAGCACAGACCCCTGAAGGCCACCTGTGGCCGACGAGCACAGAGCCAGGAGGAGACCGTTCTGGCTCCCGCTGTTCCCTTCCCTCCAGAGCAGCCCAGGCCTGGGCGTTGGCCCCTCAGCCCGTCCCTGTCTGTGGCAGGTGGGATTCTGGCGGGTGTCATCTCCGACCGGCTGGAGAAGCGGGCCTCCACCTGTGGCCTGATGCTTCTGCTCGCGGCCCCCACGGTAAGGCTCCGCTTCCCTCCCGCGAGCCTCCCCGTGGCAGCACAGCGCTCCCCTCTGGCCGAGGTCTCGTCCTGACTGCTGTCTTGGGGTTCCCCCCCCCTCCTGCCCTTGCTGTCCCTCTCCCAAGACAAGCTTCCTCCAGCCCTGAGGACCCAGGGCCTTCCCAAACCCCAGGCTTGCTGGCCCCATCACACCGGTCTCATTCTGCTCCTTAGGTCCTCAGTTGCTCACGACCTTGAGCAAGTGACCTCTCTCTGTGCCTCAGTTTCCTCATCTGAAAACCAGGGGTGACGGTGGCACTGCCTCTCTGACTAAAGATCCAGTGAAGTGCTGGCCGGTCATTGCTGTGTTCTGATGTCTTAGAGGCCACTCTGTCACCACCTTGCAGTCTAGCCATTTGTCCACCTGCCTTTCCACTGTCCCCAAAATAAGGCCTAGTTCTCAGTCAACCTGGGGCCATGGACATTCAAGGAATATTCAGGTGCCCCCTGCCATCCCTGGGTGCAGCTGCTCAGGTGGGCAACCCAAGTCAGCAGTTAAGACCTTCCATCCGGGAGCTCAGAGGAAGCTGCCCAGTGGCCATCAGCACCAGCTCTGAGCCCACCGTGCAGGTGACCCCGGGACCCCAGAGCTTGGTCCAGAGCCCACACACCTGGGGTGGGCTGGTGCCCCACAGGCACTGTCTTCAGGCGGGGGCGTGGCCGTGATTTCGGGGACCCCACTCTTGGGGTGCTGGCTTTAGGACACAGGGACCTGCGTGCCCTGCGGCGCTCCCAGTAAGCCCCATTTCCCGTCCCCTCCCCGTCCAGCTCTACGTCTTCTCCTCCGTCAGCAAGATGGGCCTGGAGGCCACCGTAGGTGAGTGAGCCTTTGCTGCTCTTCTCTCCTCCACACGCATCTTTGACCCCACAACTTGGGGGACAGAAACCCAGGAGCTTTGGGCTGGTGTAACTGGAGCACATGGTGTGGCTGATAGGCCTGCGTCCCGTGGGGTGAGACCCGGGACTCCTGCCCCCAGGGTGGTAGGCCTGGTGTCGGCAGGTGTGAGTGGTGGGGAGAGCTCGGGGCAGCAGTGGGACCCCAGCCAGCCTGTGAGAGTCAGCCCGGCGCGCTCTTGGGCTGTGGCAAGAGGCCAAGCAGCTGGTGTGCTCAGCCTGGGGACAGGGCAGGCCCTTCCACTAGCCTTCTAGCTGGCCTCTCGGCCCTCACCCAGAGCAGCAGCATGAAGTCAGAGGACCGTTGGACTTCCTGCCAGCAGCACCTGCAAGTTACTCCCTGGCCCTTGGGAGACATGCTGACAAGTCTGCAAGTGGGGCTGGGGGGACGTGGGGTATGTGCAACCCCCTTCAGAGTCACCCAGAAAGCAGTCACCCAGAATGCCCGCTCTCCTGTGCGCCAGAGCCCGGCTTGGGAACGTGGGCCTGTGGCAGTTCAGGACAGACCTTGTGGCTCGTGGAGTGGCACGTATGTCTCGCGAGTGCACAGCCTTGTGGTGAGAGGACACCCCTAAGACAAAGCTGTCCTGGGTGCAGCCTCGCCTGGCACAGACCCCGCGTGGCCTGGGCTCAGCCTCCAGGGCCTCACTCCTCACACTGCCAGCAGCTGCTGCCCATGGAGAGTGGGACCCCAAGCCCCAGGTCCCCTGAAGAGGAGCCCAGATCTTTAGGGACTTAGCAGATGTACCTCTGGGCAAGGGCAGAGGGGGCCGTTCAGCTGCCGGCCTGGAGGCACCCTGGAGCCCCTCCCTGCACCCTCTGACACTCGAGGAATGCGTCCTGCAGGTCACTGGGCTGGGCTGGCTCTCCCCAGGGACTCCATTCTCCTCCGAATCCCCCTCTGCTTCCCACAGCCATGCTGCTCCTCAGCGGGGCCCTGGTCAGCGGACCCTACGCACTCATCACCACCGCCGTCTCCGCTGACCTGGTGAGTGACCCTGCACCCCCTCCACAGAGGAAAATGCCGTGCAGCAGAGCAGGGGTCGATTGCCACCTGTGTGTGAGTGTGCTGCCTGTGCACTAGAGAGTCCCTGCTGCTGGCCCTCTGCCACCCTCCCCCTGGGTCCTGGGCAGGTTGGCCCAAGAGATCCCCCGCTTGGAGCCATGAGAAGCCCCATGAGCTTTTTGCTCCCCAGAGAAGTGGAAGGGCCTGTCCCGATGAGTCAGCAGAGAGAGCAGCACAGCGGACAGGGAGGCCTGGGCTTGGTCCTCTTCACCCTGTCAGTGTCCCCCCAGGGCCAGCCTGCCCTGGCCACCTCGTGTTGAGTGTGTTGCCGAAGCTGCCCATGTGAAGCCTGTTCTTGGATGTGCATAGCCGGCAGGCTCACATCTGTGGGTGTGGAAGATTCTGGAAGGATCCACACCAGATCTCCAGCACTGGTCACCCACGCAGGACAGTGGCCGAGGAGGGACCTGGACTGCTTTCCTTAGACCAAAGCAGCGGGTGCCTGGCCGCGGGTGCCTTCCATCCTCCACTGGGTGCACATCCCTCGGCTCCCTTGTGCTTTCTTAGGTGCTGTTCATGTCCGTGGCACGGGGCTCCTGAGCCCTGCTCTTCCTTACTGTCCCCAATGTGTGCCACATGTGGAGCTGTCAAAAGCCAGATCTCCTGCCTGCCGCCCCATGAGCCTCGCTGGGTCCCAGCTTGGGTCTCCTGACTGTCCTGGTCCCCTCTTCCTGGACCTCTGCATTGTCACGTTGACTTTAGGCACTGCAGTGACATCTAGCATGTGTCACAGAACAGCCCTGGCTGTGGAGAGTCTGGGTGTCACAGTGATGCTCATGCCAGAGTGGCGCGAGGTGGAGGTGTCCCACGTAGCCAGGTGGGGCCTCGTGAAGAGGACAGCCATGATAGCTGATTACAAGAGCGCCCTGGGAGTTCTGCGAGTCAGATGCCATGGCCGGTATTTCCAGGACTCCTGTGTCCTGGAGATCCTGACCTGGTTGGCTTCCCAGGGTCGGCGCAGCCGGGAGCATGGGTGTGTGTGTGTGTGTGTGTGTGTGTGTGTGTGTGTGGTTGGCAGGCCCTGGAGTACATTCTGCATGTCACTGGGCCAAGGCAACCGGAGCCTCACGTTCCTTTTCCCCTCTTCTAGGGCACTCACAAGAGTCTGAAAGGGAACGCTCACGCCCTGTCCACCGTGACGGCCATCATCGACGGCACCGGGTCTGTAGGTACGCAGCAAGGCCACCCAGAGCCCGTCTTACCTGACAGGTGTCCAGGGTTCCAAGGGCCAATATCAGGACTGACTGGCTCCTAAAATCTGAGCAGCCCAGGGTGTAAAGAGGGGAGATACAAATCATGCAGTAAAACACTTCTTTCTTGATTCTCTTCAAATGAGGGACAGCAGGAGTGGCTAGTGAAGGGAGGTGACGCCTCCTCTGTGAGCGGAGGTGCCCTGTCCCCTCCAACACCCTCTGGGCTGGGTAGGAGAATAAGTCTTGTTCTGAACCCCTTTTGCCACAAGGGAGGAAGGTGAGACCCGCCGGGCTACTCCCTGGCCTGGCTCATCTGCTGTCACCTCCTTGGAGCCGCCACGCCCATCTTAGCTTGGTTGCCCTTAGTCGGAGGTCTGACGGGGTCTGACTGCAGCCTTGCCAGCCCCTTGGGCCACGCTGCCTGCTGGAGCACACGGGGCCTGGGAAACGGTCACCATGGAGACAGCACGCGCCAGTCCTCCACTGCGTCTCAGTCATTGTCTCTGCCCACGTGCGCCACCCAAGAGACAAAGGCAAAGAAAGACCAAGGGAGACACGGAGCCTCGGCAGGCACCCGGCGTGTCCATTAGGCGTGGGCGTCCAGGAGCGCGCGTGGGTGAGATCATGGCCAAGCTCGCTGGTTGCAATGGGCACCTTCTCACAGTCCAAGGCCAGGACTCTAGTGGCCCAAGTCTACGTGCTTCATGCCCAGTGGGCACAGGGTGCCATGTCCACACCTTTCACACAGAGCAACTGAGTTTGCCCTGCGCTTTCCACTTGATTCTTATCAAAGCAAAGCATAAGGGGACCCGCAGCCCCACCCTCCTGTCCCAGCCTCTGTCCTCCTGCAGAGGAAGGTGGACTTGATCCTGAGCCTGCCGCCTGTCCCCAGGCAGCTCGGTGCTCTCCCCTCCTCCAGCCAGGAGCAGATCACCACCCTCAGCTCACAGGCTGTGTCCCTCCCTGGCCACACCTGCATTGCTCCCCCACAGGTTCCTTCCCAGGTGTCCCCTCCTCCACGCCACGGCCTTCAGTCCCCTGGTACTGTCCTTCCACGTAGCCACGCAAGGCCCCAGGGCCGCCTGCCGCACCACATGGCCTCCGTGGTCCACGAGCCCCTTTCTCCTCGGCCCTAGATCCCGTTAACTCCGCCGTGGTGGGAATGTCTCCTGGTAGCTTCCTGAGTTCTCAGGAGGCAAATGCTGAAAAGTGACAAGTCCCTGGGGTCAGGACTCGGCTCTCACCGGGTGCAGATCCGTGTCTCCCAGCTCCACGGTGGTTGGGAAGTCTGCTGTCACTCCTCGCCCAGTCCCCACGCCGGGCCTTCTCCTGGATCCTCGGGGCGCTCCCCTCCCCCTCCCTGCAGCCCTCCCCCCCACGCTGGGGCGCCCGGGGCCCCTCGTGCTGCAGACACCGGCCCTTCATTTAGGGGCACTGAGCTTGTGGTTCTCTGATAAGTTTCCTGCCGTCTCTGGGTTTGTGTCTTGTTCTTCCTGGAGAACAGGAGTCCGCTGCGGCCTTCTGGATCCTTCTATTCTTTCTTTCTGTTTCCTTCCTGCTCACCTGCTCTCTTCTCCTTTCCCAGATGTCTTCTCAGTCAATTCCCCAGACTTCACGTTGGACTTCCTGCTTTGCATGTCATGTTTTTCATGCTCATTGATGTTTTCTGTTTCTTGAGTGTGTGAGTGTGTGTGTGTGTGTGTGTGCGTGTGCGTGTGCGTGTGCGTGCTACTGAACCGCGAACTTGCTGATAACAAACTGCTTTTCATCCACAAATGGCCAGTTTCACGGGTCAGCTTGGTTTTCTCCTAGCTCTCCGAGGGCTTATACCCCAGCCTTCCTTTCCCTGCAGCGTCCTCCTGTTTGCTCGCTCTGTGTTGGGAACGTCCTCAGGTGCAGGGAGAACTTTGGCCTCCACTTCCCCACATTTAAGGGTGAGCCTGCCTCTCACCTGGAGTCCTCCCCTGGAGGGTGTCCACTGCGGTGTTCAGAGGCCTGGGTCCCACTGGACTCTGGAGGAGCCAGTGCTTGGTGGGAGTGGGTGTCAGAGTGCCCCGACCCCGGCTCGTGATTGGGTGCCTCCCCGCCCTGCGTGGAGCCTGGTGTCCCCAGAGGTTAGCTGCCACTCTTCTGCAGCTGGTGTGTCTGGTCAGGGAGGTCGAGGAGAGGCTGCAGTGCCGTGTCAGTGGGCAGGGAAGGGGCAGAGTGAACTGCGGTCAGCAGGGGGCATGGGACTGTGTATGAAAGGCTCCCATAATGCCCCCTTCCCTCCTGCCTCTCCTCACCTGCCCTGTGCTCTTGCTGTTCCTGGCTCTGGGGCGAATCCCAGGCCGTCTCCCACTCTGGGCCTTGGTCTGCCAACAGTGGTGCCTACTCTTTGTGGATTTATAATCTTAAAAGTTTAGCTAAGGGCCACCCTGTTGTCTGGGAGGTGAGAAGACCCACTGGCACGAGCAGTGCGTGTTTACCTGGTGGATCTTCTGAGACTTGGCCTCAGAGCACACAGTTGCCTCTCAGGTCGTAAAGCAGCGTGTGCTTTGTGAACACCAGAAACTGAACCAGTGTCCCGAGGCCTGAGACGAGGGCCACCTGTCCGGGGCCCAGTCTCAGTTGACAGCTGGAGAAAACCCTTCTTCTTCTTCCCACCACGAGTGCCCCAATTCCAGCCGCGAGGGACACACCAAGCGCTGCTTGACCACCGCGCATAGAAACCCCGGGCACTTTGGAGGATGCCCTTTTCTTTCGTGGTTTTTGAATGTTATTTGGCATAATTTTGTACTTGGAGGAAACTTATAAAAATAGGAGTTCACAGAATTGCAGTGTGTTAGCTTTGCCCCGAGCTTCTCTTGTGTCCACACAGCCACGTGCAGGACACACACTCTCACGCACACAGGCACATGGCTTTCTAAGGGTGAAGCGCAGACAGTTCCCGATGCCACCTCAGTGCGGTGATCAGAACCAGGAAGTCAACGTTGACCGATTGTTGGTTCCTACAAATCTCATTCAAATTTACCAGTAATATTTTTATAGCATAAGAATATCTAACACTGCGTGTTGGGTTCAGATTTCTTTATATAAATAATAATAATGGAAAGGTTGGATCAGAAGAACGGACATTTGAGGCTGGACACAGTGGCCTAAAATGATCCCAGCACCTCGGGAGGCAGAGGCAGGAGGATCTTGAGTTCAAAGCCAGCCTCAGCAAAAGTGAGGCACTAAGCAACTCAGTGAGACCCTGTCTCTAAATAAAATACAAAAGAGGGCTGGGATGGGGCTCAGTGGTCGAGTGCCCCCAAGTTTAGTCCCGGTACCCCCCCAAAAAAAAGAATGGACATTTAAAATATCAACATCTATCCTTATAATGGTTCCCGAGGAAGGCAGGCCAGCTCCCCCCATGCTGAGACCATGCTCCTCCTCACTGTGGCCGGTGAGTGGCTGCCGGGCATCCTCCTCATGTCCCCAGGGCACAGGGTACCAGGTGGCCCCATGCACAGTCTTCCGGTGCCTCCATGTTCATGTCTGCCTCTTCCAGGAGCAGCCCTGGGCCCCCTGCTGGCGGGGCTCATCTCCCCCTCGGGATGGAGCAACGTGTTCTACATGCTGATGTTTGCAGACGCCTGTGCCTTACTGGTGAGTCATCCTCTCTGTGACCCAGGCGGCTTCAGTGAGCTCTCTGTGCTTGTTGGCCAGACACTGGTGGAACTTTCTGTGGATTCCTGCAGTCCTGGGGGCATAGGGGTTATTCTGTCATCACTAAATACACGTGGTCCAAGTTCCTTATCTGGGTAAAGAACTATCAGAATCGGAAATAGGTGAGTCTTCTGCTCTGTAGTTCCAGGCAGGACAGTGTGAAGTCCCAGAGCATGGTGCCCTGTGGCTTTGGATTCTGCCCCAGCCTGTGTGTGATGGTGCAGGTTACTGAACCTCTCTGGGCTACAGCTTCCACATATTAAAATGGGCATGATAAGGCCTGTTGGAACTAAAGTGGACTGTGCCCTAGGACCCATGTAGTGCTATGCTAGCCAGCTGTCTGTCACTATCAACACGCCGATTATCAACTTAGAGAAAAGGTCTCTCTGACTCACGGCGTTGGAAGTGTCAGTCTGTGACTAGCTGGCCTGTTGCTCTGGCCCTGTGTCCAGGCAGCACATCATGCGGGGAGCCCTGGGTAGAGCAGACTGCTCACCGCATGGCCAGGATCAAAACAGAGAAGGAGGAGGGCCCCGAGGTCCTCTGTCCCCTTCAAGGGCACATACCCAATGACCTAAGGACTAACAAGGCCCCACCTCCCAGCACCACCAAGTTGGGACAAAGCCCTCGACACGTGGGCCTGTGGGGACACTCCTGTTCTCCCAGCTTTAACCCCTGGGACTCCAACCTGAACCCCAGACATCCAAGAAAACAGGGTGTCTGCCTTCAGGGTGCTGGCCCAAGGTGGTGGGGCTTACGAGCCCTCAGAACTCTCTTCCCACGTCCCCACCACCCAGGACTCCCCTCCCACGTCCCCACCACCCAGGACTCCCCTCTTCTCTGGTCTGAGGGCACCTCTGCTCTCTGAGACCAGGGGCCACCAGAAGCAGGACTACTCTCAGGAACCCGCTTCTGTGTCCAGGACACTCCAGTTTTGTGGGGCCACCCTGGATTGCGTCAGTCAGGGAAGGGGACTAAATCACACTCAAACATGAAGGACGCTTGGACACCTGGGCACCCTTCGTCTGGGTCTGTAAAGTGACTTAAGCCCTTGGAGCTCACGGAGGACGGGAGGCTGAGCTGAAGGGCCGAGGAGGCAGCTGCCCTTGGTGGAGGCCTGCTGGGGCCACCAGGCTGAGGCCACTGTGGGCTCCAAGACAAGCTCCTGGTGCTGGAGTCCCCTGAGAGTCACCAGCCCGGTCACCTCAACAGCTCGAGTCACCCCAGTGCCCACGGCTGCAGGTCCTGGTCTCCACTGTGGGTTCCCAATTTGGGCATCTATGATTGGCTAGTTGTTTTAAACCAGACGTGAACAGGAGTGCGTCCCAGTTTCCCAGAGGACGTAGGACACACAGGACAAGCCTGGGCCAGGTGTGTTGGCCGGCCTGGCCAGCACCCTGAAGAGAAGTGTGTCCTGGGCAGGTGCTGGTGGGTGCTGTGCAGGAAGAGCCCAAGCCCGGGGGCCTCAGTGAGCGAGGGCCTGGGAGGCCCCAGGTCATGCCCACTGGCCGCTCATGTCCCCAGGCAGTGACAGGTGGCCTTGTCTTTGTTTTGGGTGCAGTTCCTGATCCGCCTCATACACAAGGAGCTGAGCTGCCCGGGGCTCACAGCAGGGGGCCAAGCTCCGTAAGTCCGTCACCCCCCCATGAAGGTAGCCGGTGTCCTGTCCGTCTGCCCCCCTGACCAGACAGGGAAGGGCTTGCCACTGTCCCTGCGAGGCACATGGCTTTGCTCACGTTCTCTTCTGTGACGAGTGTGGCCATGCCATGTGACAGTGGCCTCTCCTGCGCGTCGAGGAGACGGTGGGGAGCTTCCTCCTTAGTCACCCCGGTGTTTTCTAGCTGCAGTCCCCAGCCTCAGGCTGGCCTCGCCCTCGCCCCACCCCTGCCCCTGCCCCTGAGTGAGCTCCTCAGGCCCCCTCCAGCTGGCTCCCTGCAGCCACCTGCCCCTGGGGGCAGAGGGGCTCCTGCGAGGGTTGGTGTGCTCTGTGGGACCCCCTGTGCAGGGACCCCGTTGGTCTACCTTCTCTTTCAGGCTGAAGGAACACTGACCACGGAGTCCCGTGGAGGAAGGGCTGAGCCCGTCCCTCACAAACTGTTTGGAGAGAAAGCTGAAGGAGGACCCTGCCCTGAGTGGCTCGCCCTTGCCTTTTGCACACGCTCCTGGAAAAGGCCCAAGGGCCGACTTGAGAATTCCTGGCACTAGTCACACAGACGGGCGCTCAGGACAGCAGCGCAGGTCCAGGACGCTGTCCGACTGCCTTAGCTGAGCCCATGGACGGACAGCTCTGCCCGCCCCAGCCCCACAGATGCGCGTCCATCTAGTCCCTTGAATACAGTATGTGACAGCCCCGTGGCACTGACCCACAGCACCTGGCAGCCCCGTCCCTCTCAGGTACCCAGCAGCAGTGTTAAAGTGCACGAGCCCCACGCTGCAGGAGATCCGGCCACCACGTGCCGCGGGTCCCGGAGGACTTGAACGGGCAGCGAAAGGCCGGGCCTGGGACCTCAAGGACACGTCAGCCAGCCTGGAGCCCGCCTCTGCCTGGCATCAGAACCAAGGCAGAACCAAGACCCCTACTACCCAACAGGTTTCTCCATCCCTTCCCAGACTCGGTCCCCACCTGGACACTGATGGTCAGGAAGTGGACAGAGATGGCAATACGCTGCCTAAGGAACCAGCCCCAGGACACTGTGACCCCTGCCCAGCTCCAGGCGTCCTGCTGGTGTCTGCAGCCACGCACTGCTGGTCCCCTGTGATGTCCAGGGCCGGGGCAGAGGCCTGGGAAGGGGCCTGGCTGTGGGCACCAAGAGCCACGGGCATCTCTGAGCCACTTGACTCGGTCACATGCACAAACACGGGAGCAGTTTCTAGATCCATAGCAACAGAGGGGATATTTATTTAAAATGTATGATGTGTTATCTGAGGTTAAAGGAATACAAATGGCATTTTGTTATTTATTAAGACAAACTAGTGGCTCTCTGGACATCTGTTTTCTGGGTTGGCTATAGCAACGTTCTTAGCTGCCTTTTGAAATAAAATGGGTTTTTAAAAAAAATCCAAGCAGAATACTCAGGGAATATTGATTATTTCTGCCCGTGTTTCCATCACACTGAAAGAAAACTTCCAAATAGCCTGTGTGGTTTGCATTTTCTCGGGGGTCAGACACGTCCCATGGTTGTGCTGGTCGGCAGGAAGCTGGGGCTGTCCCCTCCAGGAGAGGGCCCTCTTGCTGCCAGGGCCAGCAGACCTGGGCCTCTGGGTGCTCTGTGAGCCTGGCGTTCCCCCCTGACTGTGCCAAGGCGTAGGGCTGGGTGGGTGATGCGCTGGGTTCTGGGTGGAGTGGATTCAGGCTTTCAGACCTCAGGAGCTGGGCCGTCTATGCTCTTGTGGTGCGTGCTGCTCTCTGAGGGTGTGCTGTGTTTTCAAAGTCAGTTCTTGGGCCCCCTCCGTGGCAGCAGGCCAAGGACTCAAGAGCCCCTACCCTGAGCTCTGGGGGCCTAGCAGGGGACACAGGCCTGTCCTGTCAGCCCGCGGCCCTCACTGGCTGGCTGTGCTTTTTATTTTAATAAGTTATTAACACATTTGTGATCTTCTACTGAAAGCAAGATTTCCACAGACTGGCTAGGTCACAAGTCCCCTGCTCAGGTCCCCAGCCTCTGGTTCTGTCTCCTCAGCCTCCCACGTGCTGAAGGCACTGCTTGTCCTTCCCACCCTCACTGCCCACCCCAATAGTGGCCTGCCCTCTGCCCCTGCAAGACGCCACACCTCCGTCCTTCCAGGCGTCCAGTGTGGGTATTAATCTGGATAAAGAAAAGAGCGACTAGCCGTAGAAACGTGTCGATGGGTAGCACAGAGAAAGTCTTCCAAACTGGTAAGGTTCGGCTGTGAGGTGCCCCTCCGAGCTCCGGTGCTAATGTTTGCCGGTGGACAGGCTGTCCCGCGAGAGCTGGGCCCTGTCAGGTTGAAGGAACCTGGCCTGGTGTGAAGCCCGGGACCCGCCTTACCCCACGAGAGTGTTCACCTCGGCCCCACCGTGGCCTGAGACCTTGGAAACCCTGAGTCCAGAGGGGCTTTTCCTCCCCTACGTCCTTCCAGTCGGGCATTTCGGTCACAGTGACAGAAAGCCGAGTCACACCCAAGCTGTCTCGCAGCACCACTCTACAGAATGGCCTGAGCCCTCCCCAGTCAGGCGAGGAGGGGTCCCCAGCAGACCCTCCGCAGCTGAGGCCCTCTGTCCGCTCAGCCGCAGGAAGACTTGAGGGGCAGTGGTGTGTCCCCCAGCTCTGTGACCAGCCCCTCAGCAGCTCCCCACTCCTGAAGCTCCCTGGCTGAGCCCTGAGGGGAGGCCACTGAAGTGGACGGTGATGTCATGTAAAACCTGCCTGCCTTCCTGTCCTGGGCTGGGCTGGGGAGCTCATCCCACCTCACGTGGCCCTGCTCGGCCACCGCCACGTGGACATGTGCGGCGTCCCTAGGACTCCAGTCAAGCTAGCACACAATGCCCTGCCCGCACTGGGACAGCGGGGGACCCTCCAACCCCAGGGGAAACCATTGGGAAGCTCCTTAAGAGGAGGCCTGAAGGCTCCCGGGTGCCAAGGCACCTGTGGGCTTTTGTCCTGGCTTGTCCCCAGGATGTCAGCGGAGGCCAGCCCCCCAGCCAGCAGCTTGTAAATCCAATCTAAATAAGTAGCTTTGAAAAATGAACTGGACAACACAAGCCCTAATTGCTTCTTGTTGGATTCACAGACAGAGCACCAGCTGTATGCGACCTCAGGGGGGTGCCCTGCAGCCGGTGCCACAGACTCCGATGGGAGGAGGGGAGCAGGAGCTGGTGTGGGGGCAGGAGGAGGTGTGTGCCTGTGGCCAGGGTTGTGGGGACCCTTGCTCAAAAAGAAAGGAAAAGTGCTGTCAAGGCGCTGAAATACACAACTGCCCGTCCGTCCACTCTTGTCTTTCTCCCCCCCTTGTGTTTTATTTGCCAGTCAACCTCTCCATCCCTGGGGCCTCGGAACTCTAAAACATAGCCATCCTATCAGGTGCCCAGCTCTGTCCCAAGACAGAGGTCCTGTGCAACTGGGTGGACCCCACCCCCAGGCCACCTCCCTTCCTGCAGCTGCTGCTCAGGGTGCCCTGGGCACCTGGTGGGGCTGGCACAGCAGCCCAGGCTGGGTCAGCACCACCAGGCCCCACAGAGACACCAAGCTTAGTGCGCTGAGCCCTGACCTCTCCCTGCCCTCACTCAGGCCAGAGGGTGACCATGGAACACAGATCTCTGCCGATAAGGCCAACCTGTTTCCTCCCTGGGGGGCCAAGGGTCAGGAGGGCAGCAGTCCCCTCCAGAGGAGGCAGTGGCACACGCAATGCAGGAGCCCAGGTCCCAGGCCCCAGCGACAGTGCCACCAGCCTGGACCGTCCTCTAACCACAGGCACAAAGAGCAAGGTTCAGAAGCCAACGGGCACCTGCTGAGCACTGAACCCCAGGCCCCCGGGCACAGCCACGGGGCTGCACCACCACTCGAGAGAAGGTCACCTGCCCAGAATGCTGCTCCATCAGAACTGAACCAGGACCCTCAAACATCAGATAGAGCTCTAATCTCTAGGGTATACAAAGAACTCAAAAAGTTAAACAACAAAAAAGCAAATAACCCAATCAACAAATGGGCCAAGGACCTGAACAGAAACTTCTCAGAGAAGGATATACCATCAATCAACAAGTACGTGAAAAAATGCTCACCATCTCTAGCAGTCAGAGAAATGCAAATTAAAACTATTCTAAGATACCATCTCACTCCAATAAGATTGGCAGCCATTATGAAGTCAAACAACAATAAGTGCTGGCGAGGATGCGGGGAAAAGGGTACACTCATACATTGCTAGAGGGACTGCAAATTGGTGCAGCCAATTTGGAAAGCAGTATAGAGATTCCTTGGAAAGCTGGGAATGGAACCACCATTTGACCCAGCTATTCCCCTTCTCGGACTATACCCAAAAGACCTAAAAAGAGCATACTACAGGGACACAGCCACATCAATGTTTATAGCAGCACAATTCACAATAGCTAGACTGTGGAATCAACCTGGATGCCTTTCAATAGATGAATGGATTAAAAAAAATGTAGCTTATACACAATGGAATATTACTCAGCACTAAAAAATAACAAGATCATGGCATTTGCAGGGAAATGGATGGCATTAGAGCAGATAATGCTAAGTGAAGTGAGCCAATCCCTAAAAAACAAATGCCGAATGTCTTCTCTGATATAAGGGGGGTGACTCAAAATGGGATAGGGAGGAAGAGCATGAGAAGAAGACTACCACTAAATAGGGAAGAGAGGTGGGAGGGAAAAGGAGGGAGAAGGGGAGTTCACGGAAGATGGAAGGAGAACCTCATTGTGATACAGAATACATGTTTGATGGTGTGATGAGAAAAAGAAAAAAAAAGTGTGTCACATGAGATTGGACAGGGAGAAAGGATGGAGAGGAGGGGAGGAGTAGGGGGGATAGGAAGGGCAGCAGAATAGAATAGACAACATGATTGATGTATGCACATTCCATGTATGTATTATATGTCAAAATTAATTCTGCTGTCATGTATGACTAAAAAAATAAAAACAAATCGTATGGTTAAAAAAAAAAAAAAAAAAAGAACTGAACCAGGACCTAAAGGCCAGCCTGAGAGCCTGGGGCCAGCGTCCCCAAGCCCTGATATTGGAAAGAGGGTCCTCAGGCTCCCCAGCCCCCCAGCGTGGGATTCTAGAGCCCGGGGGAAACGCGGCTGCTTCTGTTCACACTCAGTCCTGGTCACAGGGACGTGCGGAGGAGCCCGTCCTCACCACTAGCACGTCTAAAAGGAAACGCGGCTTCAGATGTCTTGTCGTCGTGGGAAGGAACCAACTCCGGAGCCTCTGAGGCCTCCCAGAAAACCAGTCTCGGCCAGCGGTCGCCACATGTCCAGCAAGACAATTGCTGAGCTGTCTGTCCCAGAAGCCCCCAGGCCATGGAGTAAGGGGGACCGGGTTGGGGCCGGCTGTGACCTCTCCTTCCTGTCCCGCCAGCCTTCGCTGCGGCTTTCTCCTCTCACGTCCCCTGCCGCGTCCACTGGCTGTTGGCAGCAAAGCCTAGGCTCCTACAGTGTGTCCCTACACGTCCAGGGGACAGCGTCAGCCCTGCCTTCCAGGGCAGGGGCCATGCCAGCTCGGGTTCTGCCGTGCTGGGCCCCTCGGCAGGCTGCTGGGGGGCGTTTGCAGCCATCTCTGGTAAGGAGGAGACCCTCCCCTCGGCCGGGCCTTGGCTGCACTCGGAGCTCGGGGCATCTCAGCACCTGCGGATGGCACAAGCTGAAGAGCTGCCACCGTGGGGACATCCTGTTGAGACCAGCCAACAGTCCTTCCTGTCCTTCCTGTCCTTCCCACAAGTCCACTGGCGGAGAAACCCCTCCCTGGTAACCATGCGGCGGTGCAGGGTGGGAAGGTGACTGGCGCCCACCCAGAGGACCTGACGCTGCAGTTAGCAACCATCGGGACCTCGGCACATTGGCCAGCGCCCGGGGGGAGGAGGACGGAGCTGAGAACGGCTCACTGTCACCCTCCATCCTTACATTTGTGTTCCGCTTCCCCTTCCGTTCCCAGGCCGCAGCGCACTTGACCTGACGCCCTTTCCTCTCTCCGCTCGGATTTTACTTATTGAGGATCTTCGGACAGTGCCGAGCGGCTCCCAGTCACGGACGGCTGCGGCACCTTCCTGTGTGTACAGCGCAGTGGTTTTTGCCTGGTTCACACTCTGCACAACCGCGGTCTCCTGTGGCTCAGGGTCCCAGTGTCCATTATCAGTTATGTTTGTCCAGCAGCCTCAAGGGACCTCAGAGGGCACGTGAGAAGCAGGCAGCTTGCTTGGAAGGGCGAGAGCCAGTGCTGCTTGCTGTCTACCTACTTGCTGAGAACCCAGCCTCGGGAGCCCCTCCTGGCCCACCTGTCCAGTTTACTCCTGTCTCACTGAATGGCACACCCGGGAGCCCCCCTGCAGGTAAGAGGCAGTATCACCAGCCCCCGGAGCAGGGCCAGGGCCCCCAC